TCCTTTAGGATCCCAGCTCAGTGTGTTGGTCTAGAATTAAGTACTTGTAAATTTTGCACTTATTTATTAATTGTAGATCCTCTCAACCAGAAAAGTTAATACAAAGATTAATAAATCAGAAATATTAACTATCAAGTATACTATTCGTTTTAGCATATATCATAAACCAAGCTAACCGAGAAAAAAAAAGTAAATTCTACTTTGCAGAAACAAAAAAACTTTACATATATAAATATGTATGTACTTACATCAGCACTAAATTTAAACAGTTATTAAAACTTTTGTAAATAAATGAATACTCCTTTTTCCTACATTATGAATATTCCTACTAATGTGTCACAGAGAAAAACCAGGGATAATCCAGGGTCAAGAATGTTTTCAAATGACATCTGACATTCCTTTCATATAATTGCATACTGTTATCAATATGAAAATCTATAATAAAATTTCCAGACCATACATATCACTCTTTACATCATGCCTACTTTTTATTGATAGTCAATGTGTCACTTCTCCACAACTGTAAACAATTCACATTGATCCCCCTTATTTAAATCATTCTGATCATATTTTTATTGTTTTCATTATTGACATTTAGGTTTTAGTATTCTGGAATGCCAATACTTGTGAAGGTATATGTGTACATATACATGTATAGTAAATACCATATGTAAACTGATTATCTTTATTTGACAAGGCCATTTATTACTTTGACTTGTAACATTACAAGTTAATGATGTTATATTATATAAATCTAAGGCTTAACCTAAATACATTAAATTAAATATTTAAAGAGACATTTATTACAAAATTTATTATAGGTTTAATTAGAATAATTAACTGTTAGGGCTCCTGCATTTGATCATAATATTTTTCATTAGTGTAAATCATGGATATAAAACAATTTAAACAATGTAACTGTTCTAATAAAAGTATGATATTGATAAAGAAAAATACCATGACATTTCAGATGACACATAAAGTAATTCCCTAACGAGGATTTGGCTAAGGCCAGTAAAATATAAAGAGGTCCTTTTATCTGTTAGTAACATGTAATCTCATTCTGTAATAAAAGTTCCAGCCCAGTAAGAATTTATGGTAATAGTCTAGTAATCGAATCATGAGAGTTCTGGAAGGGCAGTTTCTTGCTCAATGTTTTTGTGATTTCTACTTTTCCATTCTTATGTAATTTAAGTGGATTCAAACCTGACAGGGAACTTTATTGATCATATCCAAGATTATTCATCATTCAAGAACTTTATATAAAGCTTAAAGTCATATGATTCTTTAAATTCAAAAAAAGTTTAGTATGTTTTATTTACAAATGTACTTGAATTGCTAATTTCTACTATAAAACATGTGTACATGGACTTTCTTTTCAAAGAAAATTCTTTACTTTATCCAAAACTTCAGAAATGTACTGCTATAGAATTATTGTCTTCCTGTACTCTAATTCACTGACAGCTTTTCCGTATACAGTGACCTTAACCATGACACAACTGCACAGCACAAGTGCTAGGGAAAAACTATGATGAAAAAAATAAACATATTGGACATGTTGGAAGGTACATGTAGATAGTAATAATTGAATCTGAAAGAAAATTTTTGATACACAAAATCATTAAACAACTGTTATGACAAAGTTTGAATAACAAATGGGAATGGGTGGAAAAAGAAAAAAACAAAAAAACAAACAAACGTTGCTCTCTCATCTCACTTATTTTTGATGTGTTTGATTGTTCATCAAGATTACAATTGGTAAACTTTGGAACCAAAACCAGAAAGTTAATTAGCCACCAAAGTTTTCCATCAACAATTACAGAATGAAATATTTTTTGATTATTACAAGTTATGGATTCTTAATAGATGTAAATAAATGGGGAATGTGTCCATGGGACACAGATGATGCCCCCTCTTGCATATAACCTTATAAAGGGACATAACTCAAGAACGGTTAAAGTGACACCACCGAAATTCGAATTTGATCTCTGTTTTGTGGTATTTAGCATTGTGCATAAGTTTCCTAACATTTGGTTGAGGCAAACTAAAGTTAAAGAACAGAAACGAATATTTCAGCAATTTTTCCATTTGTAAAGGGGCATAACTCTAGAACAGTAAAAGTGACGCCACCAAAATTCAAACTTGATCTGTGTTTTGTGGAAATAAGCATTGTGTATAAGTTTCCTAATATTTGGTAGAGGCAAACTTAAGTTAGAGAACGGAAACGAAAAATTCAGCAATTTTTCCATTTGTAAAGGGGCATAACTCTAGATCGGTAAATGTGACGCCACCGAAATTCGAACTTAATCTCTGTTTTGTGGTATTTAGCATTGTGCATAAGTTTCATAACATTTGGTTGAGGCAAACTAAAGTTAAAGAACAGAAACGAATATTTCAGCAATTTTTCCATTTGTAAAGGGGCATAACTCTAGAACAGTAAAAGTGACGCCACCAAAATTCAAACTTATCTGTGTTTTGTGGTAATAAGCATTGTGTATAAGTTTCATAACATTTGGTTGAGGCAAACTTAAGTTAGAGAACGGAAACCAATTTTGGGACGTATGTACGGACAAGGGTAAAACTTAATGCCCCCTCCGCTACGGCGGGGGCATAAAAAATGTGTATAGAGGACTTAGTTTAGTTTAGAATATAATTGTATGCATGCATTTGTTCAATAATTTCCATAACATTTATGATTACAAGAAACTCATTTTATGACTTAAAGGTTTGAGATTTATCATATCCAGTTTTCAATTGTTGTATCAGACTCAATCAAGAAGAATGGTCAGGTTAATGTCATTAAAATTATTTCAATTATTTCAATCCGGTTGTTATGAGTGTTTGTGGGGAAATCCTGTATTTAATAGATAATCATTTCATGAACATTCTTAAAACGTATTTTACATTTGAATTAGTGAAATCTGCATATGAACAAAAGGAGGTATGATTCAAGTCATTTTTACCCCCTGAAATGGCAAAAATAGTAAACTTATTGAACCCTTTACAAATTATGTTAATTTTACTGATATAAGGACCAGTTGCTTGAATCTGGGAACTTAAATGCATAAAGAAAACTTGTGATGTCACTATGACAATGTATGATGTCATGTGTAATTTTGTAATTTTATATGTATAATAATTTTTCACACACTTACTCAAACTTAAGATATTGTTGAGGTAATTTGAATGATGCCAATACTATATGAATTTGTAATTTTTACCTGTTTTGAAAATTGTATATTTCATAACAATTTTTTATTTCATTTTTTCATATATGTGTGTTTGTATGATATTTTGTAATTGTTTGTTATATTTCATTGTATTTCATGAGGGCCTCAGGGAAGATTAGTTTTATAGCTAACTGTGTAACCCTCTTTAAATAAAGAATTATTATTATTATTATTATTATCATTAACATGTCAAAATTTTCATATTTGACCTAATGGGGCCATTTCATAAATAATTTTTGGTAAAAAAATATATATGAACAAGAGCTTTATAGAAAAAATATTTTTTCACAATTCTTAGTACTTTATGTTTAACGATTGATTTATGAAAATGATAGATTTAATCATCTACCTATTTATTTTGATTATTAGCACATTTAACTATGTAATTGTATTCAGACCAGTAATATGTTGCGTAATTAAGTGTCTATTTAATGTTGTAACTGAAAAGGTTAGTCAACTAAGATTAGCAGTAAAGAGCAAAGGCAGGATGACAGCCTAGGTGCTGTGTGCAAAACTTTTTAGGTCATGTGGTACTATTTCAGCTTTCGTTCAACATTACATAAGTGCAACAGGACTTTAAATGAATTAAGTAAAAGTTATTTTTACTTGGGTTTTAAAACGTCTACCACTAATCTATGCATAGAGCAATTTCAATTTTCTTTTTCGGAATGACTAAGGCTGGTTAAGGCTGAGGTCTAGCCGCATTTTAAAGGCAGTATGACTTAATAACATAAGTATTGTGACATCAAAAATATATGGGAAAATACACGAACATGAAAGTTATTTATGTGGGGATGAAATCACCAATAATATTAAGAAAATTAATATAAAAATGAACTCAAAATCGTAACCTTTTTATGAACAGTTGAGCTTGCGCATTATCCCGTTCTGGTTCTGTTGAAGGATGCTGCCATGTTGGAAGTCATATGATTTTCTGCAAATTTGTATAACTGATTCCCAAAAAGAACAATGAGGACGAACATTTTGAATTTATTCTGTTTGTGTACCTAATAAAAGGAGTCTAGAACTTTATAATATTCAACATATGATTTTATAGCAAACAAAATGACTTCTCTGGGGAAACTCACCTCAGATCAATCAGGCAGATTTTTGTATCTGTACAAATTAAGATCAGTAAAAATCTGACTTTGGATATTTGTTTTTTTTTAAGTGTAATTATTATGATTTTAATTAAACTATAATTTAAAATGAGTATAAAAAAAACCCTACCCGAAGATAGCGTTTCTTTGTTCACATTAAAAGTGAATTCATATATAATATTCCAAACAATAGGACCAACCTTGGATATGTTTCCGTAATTCAGTTACCTTTTCACCAGAATTTATGGATTTTTTTTTACAATAAATGTTTATATAAAAATAAATCTGCTGTTTATTATTCTAAAGGTTTGCTAACTTCGTCCTCTTTCACAGGTAACACCTGCCTCATATTAATCTATGTCTTATGAGTCTTGAACCTAAAAAAATTAGGTATGGGACCTAATTTTTTTAGGTTCAAGACTCATGGGGTTCATGTTTATGATGTTATGTCCCTTGTCTGAGGAACGTCAGGACGTCTGGCGACCTTCATTTAGAGTAAACTTTGGTATTCTTAGTAACAATCGCTATCCTAAAGCCATTCCAGAAATATCATAACTTACTCAAAAATCTCCTAAGAAATGAAAGGTTAAAAACGTCAAAATAACTAATAAAAACAATCCAGAAACACAGGTGTATTGTGATGCAGGAAGCGGAAGTAATACGGTAATACAAGGGAAGCAACTATCGAAAAATAAACAGTAAGCGACGAAGTACTATATCAGTTTTAAAACGTCTTGATCAGATGCTAGGCCTATATAGGTTGGTAAATTATTGCATTTAAAAGTCCACACGATTTTGTTGATTATAACTGAGAACAATGCAGCCACTGACAAATACAGTGTGTGGCCGCTTTTGAGACGTTTCGGCCATGAACCAGCTCGGTCGTCGCCGTTTCGGCCATACACTAGTCCAAATAATTATGACGTCTTGAAAGGCTATTTTATTTTTTTGCTTTGACGCCTTACTGCGACAGTCGTTTATTTTTTTTGCTTTGACGCCTTACTGCAACATTCGCTACTGTCGCAGTAAGGCGTCAAAGCAAAAAAATAAAATAGCCTTTCAAGACATCATAATTATATATAATTATTCCGACTAGGCATAAACCTGTTCGGTCATGGTCATTTCAGCCATATACCTGTTCGGCCTTGGTCGTTTCAGCCATACATCTGTTTGACTTTGGTCGTTTCGGTCCGTTAAACCCACGCCATAGTAATACAACTATAGCTGTATAGCACTATAGGTCTATTTACAATATACAATCTATAAGTCCTAATAATTATGTAATTTAATTCATGATGTCTTGAAAGGCTATTTTATTTTTTTCAGCAAAAAAATAAAATAGCCTTTCAAGACATCAAAATTATTTGGACTACCAATCTCAGAACACTTTATGGCTATTTATTCAAATCCAGATAAGTTCTAAAATTACACAACTTTTTCATCCAGTTGAAGCTATCTGGGGCCCTGTTTAAACAATGTATTATGCATAAAACTTTAGGAGAAATGTTTAAACCATCGTAAACACTTCAAACAAAGCAGTTTAATTACTTTAATTTGTGTTTTAAAAAATGTGGATCATAACCTATCAAAGTTTCAAATTGCTTGCTTTCTAAACTTTTTTCCTTCCTTGGAAAGTTAGGGAATAACCATTTAACTTCAGGGGGGGAGGAGAGTTATGGTTTTTTTCCTAAAAATATATTCTGATCCCCAATTTCATGAAAAAAATATTGTAGTTAAGCAGATGACAAAAAAAAAAATATTCTGAGTCCAGATTTTCCCCATACCTTCATGACCTTGTAGTGTTAAATTTTGAAAAAAATAATTTGATTGATAGAGTCGATAAAAACTACAATGTATAAAAAAATGTTCATGCTTTGCATGAAAAAAATTTTCTGACTCAGACAAAAAACCATAACCCCCCATTGAAGTTAAATGGTTGCTCCCTTACTGATGACCTTTGTTTTTGCAAGAGTTGACCCAAACAGGAAGTTGTATAAGTGACTGTTTTTTTCCAGATTGGACTAAATAGCAATAAGGTGTATAAGAAAACAGGTTTTCGCACAAAATCTGACTACAAGGCTGTATACCTTATCTCTTTTTATTCCTATTCCAAACCAGTTGAAGCTATCTGGGGCCTTGTTCAAACAATGTATTGTGCATAAATTTTTCATAGATACATGTTTAAAGCATCATAAGAGAGGTTCATATAGGGTATGAGGTAAAATATGCACTATGTAGGATACACAACATTGAAATTGGAGAGGTTGACAGTGTTGACAGGTTGAAATTGTAGGGGTTGACATGGTCGACAAGTTGAAAGGGGTGGACAGGTTGTTAGGGTTGCCAAGTATCATATATCATTCATAAATCATGCTTATGTCAAGAGTACGATACGATAATAAGTAAAGTAATGAAAAAAAAACTGATAAAGGAAACCAAACGTTTTGGAAAAAAATATAATGAATTATTCATTTTCTTATAAATTTGAAAAAAGAAAATATTGTGGATGATATATTTTTGAATTATAACTTATCTCATTCTTGGTCATAATTCATCTACTTAATAAAAACTTTTATTCACACCTTACATTCCCCAATTATTTTTGGGATAGAGTGATTACATACCTGTCAACTGACCTGTATTCTGTGGGTGACAACTGTAAATTTCACCTCTCACCTAGGAATTTTTAAATACCCGCTGCGTCGATAAATAACCTAGAATATTATGATGTATTTCATAAGTGATTTTCCTCTGAAATATCGGCAAATTCGTAATTCTTGTTAACTATGTAAACTGTCAAATTAAGTGGCCCATTAAAGTGCATGGGTTCACTTGACAGCTTTGGTGTCAAATACACTGTTAATTAACACCAATTACATGTACCTTAGCCTCAGATCTTGAATAATTTGTGAATTTCAAAGATGTTTGACAAAAAATTTGAGTTACTCCCCTTTTTTTCCCACTTTTCGCAGTATTCTCCTTAAATTGATGTTTCTTTGTAAAAAGATTAAATCTAAGGCAAATTGAATGCAAAGATATATAAGAATATTACTTATATGATTTTAATTTCTTATTACAATTAAAAAAAGTAATATTTTGAAAATTATTTTTTCGTCTCTACTTCCTTTGAATGCTTGAATTTTAAATTATATATACAGGTTACACTTATGTCTGGATGATTGACCGGATTGTGACTTGATAATAACCGGATGAGATATAAATGGTCAGATTTTTATTGTTATATGGTAGATTTTTTTTTTGTACATTGTATTCTGAGACCTTTGAGATACTGAACTATGTTTTATGAGCAAAAAAAGTTGATCCGACAGATTTTATATTTGCTGATGTACGCTTTAAATCTATTGATTGATCAACAAAAAGTTTTAAATCTCTTTTGTTTTACAATATTTTCATTGATTTTTTTCATGAAATTATGAAATCTGCGAGATTAATAAATATATTAAATGAAAATTATATTTTCAAAATATAAACTTTATAGTAAAAAAACAAAGTTGACCGGACGGATTTCATATTCGCCGATGTATGATTTGAATATATTGAACTGATTGACAAAAGTGTTAATATCTCTTTTGTTTTACAATAATTTTTCATGAAATTATGAAATCTGCGAGATTAATAAACAAATTATATGAAAATATAAACTTTATAGTAAAAAAATTTGTTTTTCTACAAAAAAAGTTGACTGGACGGATTTTACAAGCGCGAATTACGCTACGAATAATATTGACCGGATAGACAGAAAGTGTTAACTCTTTTATTTTTCAAAAATATTTTCCTAAAATTGAGAGACCATTGAGATAAACTTATATATTATATGAAAATATAAACTTACTTGTAAAAACTTATATTTTTGAGCCCATAATGTTGACCTGAGCGAGTTCACCGACACATTAAAAGTACCAATATTTAATTAGATTATCTAATTTTGACACTTGTCGTAATCACCAATCAAGCCACTTTAAGTTTTCACACCTGAGACATCAAGTACATTTTATTGAAATACCTTATATAATCAGGTGGCAATTAGAATCCAATCAATGAAGAATTTTGTAAATATTTGATTATTTTAAAATTTATTAATGCAATTAGGAGAACAAACATATTAATATTCAAGATCCTTGATAAAGTTCAAGATTACGGAATTATTTATTGTGCTATATCGTGGCATTTAGTTTTTATTGGTGGAGGAAGCCGGAGAGACTAGAGAGAATCACTGACCTTTCAATAGGTAAACCAACAATCTTAGTCAATTAAGATTGGAGTCTAGTGCATGTGCCGAATTCAAACTCACAACCTCAGTGTTGACAGGCTACTAATACAGTAGATTGACTACTCAGACCACTTGGCCACCGAGGCCCCAATATAAATATATAGGAATATGCAAAGTTTGACAAGGTTTTTAGAAGGGTAACAATCTGATCAATCACCCTCATCTATTTGTTATATAATTTATTGTACTGAATGTTCTTTTATCATTGTCTTTTTCATTTTGAATTGAAAGTAATAAATTATGACATCATGTACTGAACAACCATCTATTTTTGGCATGTTTGATAAAGCACACAAACACTCAAATAATTAAGTGTCTCCCTGTTCTTAACCAATCAAAAACTTGCATTTAAACGTTAAGTAATACTCATTATTGTACTTTTTGCCACTACATTGTATCTTGAAAACTGAAATGCAAATATGAAACTGTAAACAGTAAAACAAAATTAACTTTGTCTAAATATTGCTTAGGATACTGTATGTGCTATTCAGGCCCCTTTTAGCCTCTGGTTACTTCATGGCATGATTAATGATTTCAATTGTATATAAAGACTCCATAAACTACATTGAAAAATTAATACATTTTCTTTCCAGAAATGACAGCCAAAGTGAAGTGGACAGCAATAGTTCTGACATGTGCTAAAAAAGAATGGGGAGAGGCAGTACAGAAAGGTAATTACATCTGGCATGTTGTGTATGGAAGTGTTTATATTAAAAGCAGGTAAAATAAGACCAATATCTATAGATATCAACAGTTAAACTTTGTGATCAGAAAAAGGATAAATTAAGTGGATTAAATACAAGACATATCCACATATATATATTATCCACTAGTCAAATGCGTTTTGTTAAAATATACTTTTTCACTTTTTGGTCTTTTGGAAAATGTTGTTTGTGCTGTATTTAAACCCCTCTACCAAGAAATTTGTTTTGCATGCACACGTATAAAAATTGCGGTTTTTATCCACAGCAATCATAGGTTTGAACGTTGTTTTTAGTTTAGACTTGTTTATATCCATATATATATGTATATATCTGTACTGTATTGTATATTGATATGAAAATTCATGTTAATCACTGCAAAAGTACTGTTAAAATTGATTCCAATTTTCATTGATTCATGGGAAAAGTCTTTCACATCGGCTTATGTTACATGTATGTACTTCCTTAATAAAAGTAGTTCTGGACACTCACATACACTGATGTAATATATATATATCCATATATCTGAAATTATTTATCATAATAATTATGTAGTACCAATTAATTGAAGCATTTCACACATTTTTGGCTTTAATTTTGTTAATCATTTTGCATTCTGAATCATCTAATAATTGTTTGGGTTAAATTTATATGAACAGAACTAGAACTAAGACAAGCCAAAGGATATATAGACAAAGATGTTATTGTATTGACCGTAGAAGATCCAAAGAGTAATGTTGGCAGTGGTGGAGCTACTATCAATGCCTTACTCACAGTAACAGAATACATCAGTGCAAAACAAGGATATTCAGTAGGTATAATGTAAATAGTGGTAAGAACTTACTCTAGGTATATCGTAGAGTAAATTCGTTGTCAATTGTAGTAGGTATATTGTAGGCAGTGCCAGGAATATTCAAGTATAAAAAAAAGATTCGGTATGATTGCCAATTAGACAACTATCCACCGTAGACCAAATGACATAGATGTTAGCAACTATAGATCACCTTGCAGCCTTCAACAATGAGCAAAACCCATACAGAATACCAACTAGCAAGCCATAAAAGACCAAGACGTAACAAAATGTAAACCAATTGTAACAAGAAATCCAATGGCCTGATTTAGATTGCATTTTTAACTATTTAGAAGGTATATTTCACAAAAGGGAAAACACAGATCACTGTACAAATATTCCTCATTTTGTGCTGATCAAGTGACATAAGTAATGTAAAAGAGAGGCGAAAGATACCAAAGGGACATTCAAACTCATAAGTCATGAACTGACTACGCCATTGCAAAAAAGAAAAATACCAAACTACAAACAACAATATACAAAACTCAACATAGAAAACTAAAGACTGAGCAATATGAAAGCCACCAAAAACAGAGGGTGATCTCAGGTGCTCCGGAATGGTAAGCAGATTCTGCTCCACACATGTGACACTCGTTGTATTACTCCTATGAAATACATTGATAAGTTATATCAAGTGATTAGACATCACGCAATACCAAAAAAAATGCCAACTACAATTTTGAAAAATATTGAAACTTTTGATTAAGTGCTCCGAGTCAATCAAATGAAGTAAACAATGACTTTGAGACCCATTTTATTGATTTGGAACCTACCCATTTACACTATAATGTCAGCTAGAGACTTAGGTAAGTGTTCAGTTAATTTTTGTATCTAGCAAAACATTTGACTAAATTTATTTAAAGGAACCTGTTGTAATCATATAAATCAAGTGAACTTTGGCAGATCCAAATTTTTGTTTATTTGTGTCATTGGGTTGATGTCTCATTGACTTATGCCCCATATCTTCTTTTAGTCATATATAATGAAATTTGTATCCAAGTGTCAAATCCTGACTTTACTGACATAGCAGGGGCGGATTCAGGCGGGGGCGTGGTGGGCGTGCGCTCCCCTTAAATTTGCAAAGCATAGGTTGTCCTCAGCTTAATAAAGAATATTTCGATCATTTTACCTCAAAAAAATTTAAGTTTGTGCCCCCCCACCCCCTAACCTAAAATCCTGGATCCTCCCCTGCATAGTCATTTACTTTCTGCTTTTTGTTGTGTTTAATTCTATTATAGGTGATAAACAGTGATGTACTTCAAGAATCTCATATACTTATTCTTCATAGTGTAAGTACACAATGCACAAATATGTATAGTGAGTTTTTACTCTATTCAAACATTGTCTATAAAAATATATCATCATGTAAACAAAAAATATCTATGTGAGATGGAGGGTTAGCTGTACTATTATGCTTCAATGGTCACAGTTATAGAAAATAAAATAAAATTTTAGACACCTACTAGGTAAGGCATTTCAAAAGTCCTTTTTGTCAATCCTGACTGATTTTGTGACAGTAATGGGCAAGATAAATATGAAAATATAGTTTCAACAGTTTGAAAGTTACTTGTAAAATTATCTCTAAAGACAGTATTTCATTTTTAGCTCACCTTTCCGAAGGCGTCCGTTGTCTGTCCGGTGTAAACTATTTCAAACATCTTCTCCTCTGAAACTACTGAACTAATTCCAACCAAACTTAAGCTTCAATTTGTTCCTCTAGTTTGTTTACTTTAAAAAATCTTCTCCTTTGAAACTGCTGAATCAATTTCAGCCAAACTTGGGCTGAATGAGTTTCAGAGTATCTACTATAAATTTTGTATTTTATTTCCTTGTATGTCAAGAAACATAGCCACTATGGCTAAAATGGAACATAACGGTAGGGGTAAAATGCATTTTTTTGCTTTTGAAGAAAATATGACAGATACAAAGAACATTTAAATGGCATTTTTAAGCCACTCATTAATATTTATTGAAAAGCAAAAATAATCATTGATGAAAGATTTAAGCAAAAAATTACAGGTGAGTGATTCAGGCTCTTGAGAGCCTCTTGTTTAAAATTGTTGGAAAATTCTGGCACAATTTTATAAAGCACTGCATTAGTTTCAAGTAGGGCAAAGAATTGTAAATTGTAAGATCTGAAATGAATAATTTTTTTCTATGATAATTCTATTTTTTAGGGCAGATCCTATCCATATGATCCATGTGGTAGGACTTTTATGGTACTTCCTGTCAGCTATACAAACCCAGAGTATGACGGACTTATAACAAATGTAGACTTACTCATTAATAATATATCAGAAAAGGTTAGAATATTATGGCTTTATAATAACTGTTTAATGTAGTGAGTTAGTGTATCAGAAAATGGAAGTATTATTATGACGTAACTTTTTTTTTGATTCAGATGCTTTCTGCATAGGAATATCCACATACCTCTCTTCTTAAAACTTTATTTAGCATAATGACAAAATTCATCTATTTGATTTCTTATCCATAACCTTTCAAAAGACTTCAATAAAACTTTTACAGATTTGTCTTACTTAATGGTATTGTGTATGTACTATATCATTTTTTGTTTTGGATATGTTTTTGGTTTCACATTGCAAAATATGGACTTTGCCCTAGTGGAGAGGGCATTGAGTTTTACCCTTGTCCGTCTGTACGTCCGTCCGTACGTCCCCAAATTGGTTTCCATTCTCTAACTTTAGTTTGCCTCAACCAAATGTTATGAAACTTATACACAATGCTTATTACCACAAAACACAGATCAAGTTTGAATTTAGGTGTCGTCACTTTTACCGTTCTAGAGTTATGCCCCTTTACAAATGGAAAAATTGCTGAATTTATTAGTTTCCGTTCTCTAACATAAGTTTGCCTCAACCAGATGTTATGAATCTTATACACTGTGCTTATAACCACAAAACACAGATCAAGTTTGAATTTGGGTGGTGTCACTTTTACCATTCTAGAGTTATGCTCCTTTACAAATGGATAAATTGCTGAGTTTTTCCTTACCATTCTGTAACTTAAGTTTGCCTCAACCAAATGTTATGAAACTTATACACAATGCTTATTACCACAAAACTCAGATCAAGTACGAATTTTGGTAGCGTCACTTTTACTGTTCTTGGGTTATTTCCTTTTATAATGTTATATGCAAGCATGGGCATCATCTGTGTCCCTTTGGACACATTCCCCATTTATTTTTTTATGGAAGAGCTCTGCTATCAGTTTTTTATGGCCCTGCCATAGGCAATGGGGGCATTAAGTGTTACTCTTGACTGTTTGTCCTTCTGTACGTCCTTCCCTCTTTCTGTCCCATATTTTCCCTTTCCACATTCTAACTTAAGATTTTCTCATCCAAATTTAATGAAACTCATTCACAATGTTAAGAACTACAGCACTCAGACAGAGTTCAAATTTGGGCAGTGAGTCATTTATTGTTCTATAGTTATGCCCCTTTTTAACCTGGAAAATTGCAAAGCTTGAGCGGGGGAATTCGTGTCCTCAGACAAATTCTTCTTTTATCTAGTAATGTAATAAACTATCGATCAGATCTACATTATAGAAGTTCAATTGAAGATATGTTACTTTTTATTTATATTATATGGATCTCTTGTCCTGTAGTTTTTGCAGAGAATTTACATAAGGAAACGGTATTGTGTGATTTAAGGGGCATGGAGAAAATGTCAGTTGAACAGCAACCCAACTAAAAAAAAAAAGAACAAAAGTAGGACTTTCTGCACAAAAAATCAAGCTCATAATCACTTTGAGGCTAGACACATTGTCACACTTCTACTTCCACATGTGAATAACTTTCTATAAGATATCTATCATCAACATGCAGTTCTTTAATGGACAAAAAAACTCTACATGGTTATAAAAAATTAACCAAAACAACCACTGATGAGGTTCCTGAAATGGCAGGATTTCAGCAGTTTTGTGAGTATTCATGATTAATACTCATCTTAGTTTTATCTTCATCAATTGATAAACAAAAGCCACAAAAAAGAAAAAAAAACAACAATAGACAAGGTACCTTTAAATTTAAAGTGGTAGAATAATAAATATATTGATTGTGGCTGCTAACTGTGCAAAGAAAATGCTGATATGAGAAAGCTTGACAAATTAACCTGACCAATGTCATGAAAAAATAGGAAAGGGGTGTGTCCAAAATGACAGCACATTTATATTAGTATAAAAGGTATTTATGTAAAGCTCTTTTGCCATATGAATACACTATAGTGGTAAGTAATACATGTATATAAACAATTATTATGGCTTTTGCAGCTAGCAGTTAAATCTGGTCCTGGACTATGGGTGTCTAGTACAGACATGATCTTGTCTATACCTGACAATGCAGGTATGTTTTTCATTTTCTTTGATATTTCTTTCCTCAGATTTATAACAGTGATGTGATGTGAACATAAAGTTGTGTGTGTGTGATTTTTGATTTTGTTGTTTCTTCTTAGTTATCATTTTTTGTTTTTATAACATTTTTTTGATAAATGAAAAAAGTTTGTTGCATTTTGTGCAGTATGAAAATATTTCATTTGATTTGATTTTTCATCAAATACTTTTATGTAAAATAAACATTTTAGAAATATTTCAATGTCAAAATATGTAAGGTTTTATGAAGAAGTGGATCAAAATCAGAGGACATTTTTAAATCCACCAAGTATCAAAGTATTAAAATGACAAAATAGAATTAGATCCATTTATTGATGCTGCAGTGCCTTCTGTGGCAAATAGACAGATGTGGAAATTGATCAAAATAGCATTTTAGCAGGCCTATTAAATATGTATCTTAGTATATAATGGCTTGACAGTATTTTGCTGTGTGAATTTGTTTAAAGAGCATTACACTCTCACAACACAGGGACATAAGATTTAACATCCCCATTATGATGTGGCTGCACATTCAAACAGATGCTCCCTCAGCTTTGGTTACTGCTAGAATTTTTGGCTCAAGTGATCATATACCACCTAATTTTGTTACATTTTTTGGTTTGAAAACAGTATTATATGGGATAAATGGCATAGAACATATGCAAAATTACTAACCAAACTTCACCTTTAAAATGAATTCTATGACATTTAAAGTATTTTTTTCTTTTCTGATTACCATCTGAACAATTCAGACTCCTTAAAATATTTAGTAGCTATGATCTAAAGGAAATATGGATAGATTTGCATAGAAATTAATTTGACATAGTAATATGTTCTTTCTTTCATTAATTACAGAAGTTCCATGGAAGCCTTGTGATGCATGTGCCATAACAGTTCCTAGTACACCAAAATATTGTAAAGATCATGGAGTTTATAAAATAGACAAAGATGTAAGATTATTGTAAACCCATAGCAAATTTAAATAGAAAAGGTTTTGATATAAATAACATAGGATTAGAAAAAGTTAAGAAAATTAAAGATTTTTATAACTAGCTCTAGACCATTTTAATTTATACATATCAATAACAAAGAGTATCAAAAAAATTACAATTAATGTTAGGTCACTTTTATTTGTCCAGATTTTATTAATACATGTATATAAAAAAATATATTTTAAAGTAATTTTGGAGAGGTTGCGGGCATAGATTAACATAATTTTTGTCGTGCCTGCAATGTATGTCACAGAACAATGCAGAATGTGAGACATAGGGATGCTAATTCATTGGTGCCAGCATAAAAAAAAATCTTAAAACACTTACTGTGGATTCATTTATTTTCGTGGGTATCAATTTTCGTGGATTGCTGAAAACTTTCATATTCGTGGATATTTGATTTCGTGGTTGGGCCAATCTCTGTATACAAAGCCTATTGAAAATATGTTATTCGTTGAACATTTGAATTCATGGTTCACCTGTACCCACGAAACCCACGAAAATTGGTATCCTACGAATGATAATGAATCCACAGTAAGTCTGAAGATATAAACCAAGATACTTCATATCTTATATACATATGCCTTTTTGATACAAAGCTTCTGTCTACCATATGTCCATTGTCTTCTACCTCATTTTCATGATTCAGTGACTGCTTGAAAATACAAAAGTTTTCATTTCGTGATTTCTCACTTATTATGAGTGGTAGGACAATTGAGATTGGTATAAAAAATAATTGCAAGATCTACTTGTATGGCAGACAAGGTTCATCTAACCTTGACCTCATTTCATAGATCAGTGATCAAGGTTAAGATTTTGTGGTTTCAGTAATGAGTAAACTATATATTTGGTGTATATTTCTTGAATTTTTGAATTCCCTTATATTATGAGCTAATTTGAAGTAGTTGTCAAAAACTTCATATTCTTCGACCAAAAACTATTTTTGATGCATCTTCTCCTTTGAACATTTGCACAAAAATGCTTATAACATTGAACAGTAAAAAAAAACCCAAATATTGAACAGTCTTTGATTTTAAGATTTTCCACTGTGCTATATTGTATCATTAATGCTAAGATTAAATGATATGCCAATTACAATCAACAATTTATAACCATGTTTAATTTTTGGTTTACAGGGAAATGTAGGAGATATATTATTTCAGAGAGACATTAGTAGTCTTGAATGTTGTGAAAGACCTGATGGTAAAGTTCCTGTGGTAAGATTTTCTTCAAGATATGTGAATTGGTTTGATTTAAGTTTTTAGTATACCCTGTCAGTTCACACTGTAACTAAAGGCAGCCAATACAACAATAATACATAATGATGAACTAAACAAGGAAAAATAAATGCATACATTATACATCAGTTTGAATGTCCGTTTGGTATCTTTCGCCTCTCTTTTATTCATATTGTGAAACAAGTTAAGTAGATTAGAAACAAGAACCATGTGTTGAATACAATATAACCATGCAATGTGTATAGAAGTATCACTTGCTTAAGTTGAGGTCTACTTATGTTAAAAAAAGGGTTAACACAATAGAGAGACAATTCCACAATAAGATAAATACAAATACAAATAAGGTCAAAATATGGTCTTAGAAAATAGACTTGTTCACTTGTAAAAAATATTTTACATCATCAATATTAAACAAACATATTTTCTCGTTTGAATTGTTTTACATTGTCATTTCGGGGCCTTTTATAGCTGACTGTGCGGTATTGGCTTTGCTCATTGTTGAAGGCCGTACGGTGACCTATAGTTTTTAATTTCTGTGTCATTTGGTCTCTTGTGGAGAGTTGTCTCATTGGCAATCATACCACATCTTCTTTTTTATATAAGAGTCTGTCATGTGTTGAGGCTTCAAATTCATATTCTATGGCTATGATGTAGCAATGTTATTTTAGTAAGGTGTCATGACAAGTGTAATTTTAAAAGTGCCATTAGTGTAGAATATATGAAAGTTTTAAAACTATTTAGTATGTATACTGCATATTTAGGTGCCATCAGTTGTATACTTTAGCAGTGCTGTAGCTGGGAAGTTACTTAGTTTCTACATGAAGCCTCCATTAGATGCTTGTACATACATGGGACTTGATAGTGGTGAACCACCTATCCAGGTAAACCTTTACAGTAAGCAAAGCCACACAATCAAATAAATACACTTTACATAAAATGAAATCAGAAGATATTATTATTTTTTTGTATTGCTTGAATACTTACTTGTTTTCTGATATGTATGTGCATCTGATGCAGTAAAATTGGTACTGTTAATGTTATAGTTCCATAAGAAAAATCCCAGTAGTTAGTAGTAAATTTGTGATTATTCTGACACTACTAGATCATTTCTGTGAACTTAAATATAATGTATAAAAAAAGAATTGAAAAAAAAAGTAAAATTCCAATATTCCAGCTCAGTCACAGTGAAAATGGGTCATTTAAATTGTGCAATGGCAACTGCTATTATTAATGGACATTTTTCTAGGTATTTTATGTCATTTCAAAATTGTTATTTGATTGAAATAAAACAAGGCATAGGGTGTAATGATAAAAAAAAATAACTAGTGAATATGCCTTTCCCAAGTCATGAACATTATCATTTACTGCTACCTTCATATTAGTATGTGTTATGTCTTTTAGGTAATGATAGCAGATATTTTTTGTTTGGTAATTTCTATGAAAATGATTCACAACTTGTTATTTTTGGAGTGTGAAAAATAATACCACCTCTTATCAATAGTTGAAAACCATGTATTGGCTCCATAATGTATGTTTTTCTGTTTTATTATGTTATTTGTTAGCTGTCTCATTATCTCTCTTTATTCACATATTTCCACATAAAAAAGTCAATTTTAGGTAGAATTCTGTTTCTTTACTTTAGCTTTCAATTTCCTTTCAGTTATCTCTTTTTTTCGATGTGATGTTGCCAATGACAACAGAAGCTACAGAAGTGGAGTTTGTGTCAGGACAGAATTCAAGAAACCAGGGAGACAAAAACTCAGAGATAGAAAAACTAATGAGGTCAGCAAGGGCATTGCTATGGAAAGAACTAAGTAGTACAAATATATATACCTGTAAGTTGAACCATTAACAACTAACAGGGATGATGTACTCCCAAGCTTCATTATCTGCTCAACAATTGAAATGGTTTTATTAATTAAATAAAATATCACCCTATAGATTGAAATAAACAAATAATTTCCCCATAGGCGACAATGATAGCCTTTTTCGAGATACAGACTTTAGAAAGTTGATTTTTTAAACGAAACCTTGCTAGAATTAAAGAAAAGTTATTAGGACAGTATTTTTTGGTCCAAAAAATATAGGTTCGCGTTGCTTTTCTTAGCGTAATTTGTACTTATCTCCCATGCCTATCAATTTTGCACATAAAAATACGTGTCTCATCCTAGCGTTTAAAAGACATCTCAGTTCCGTTAGGGCTAAGGAAAATAATTTATTTGGCCTTTGGTATAATGCAGAATGCACGAAGTCTCTAATAACAAAAAATAACGGGCGCACATATCAACCAATCAGGATTAGCTATACTCTTAAATCTGAATACCATGTTATGCTCATAAAATGGCTGCGTCCATAAAATCTAATGGTGTATTGTAACCTATATGGCATAAAGAAGTACACAGTCATTTCTGATAGGTGAGAATTCCAAGTAAGGATAAGGTTCATATGCATGTTTTGTTAAATCCTTGGTTTTTGAGTGGATGTGTAACCACAGGCAACCACATTCGCTTTGTCTGAACAAATCTTCCAAGATGAGCATGAATGAAATAAATTTTAAACCACATTATTAAGGGGAGATAATTGAATTTACAGATGTCTTTGATTCTTTTTATGATTTTGACCTAAGTGCAACTTCTCTGGAAACATAATATGTATTCAAATAAAATTCAAAGAAACATAGAATACTTTTGAAAGATATAGATGATTCAAAATTATTCCTGCCTGATATATAAATGGGGAGATTATTGAGCTTTAGCAAATGTTTGACCTTGTAAGTATAACTCCATCTAAACCATCTAATGGATGTAAACAAAAATAAACACAAATGAAGTACAGCATGTAAAGCTATGCATAAAGAAGTCCTTCTAAAGCATCTAATAGATATAAAGAAAGCTACACACAAGTACATTTTTAATACAGCATGAAGAAATATACCAATATTTTAAGATATTTATTAATTGAAGAGTGATTTCATTTTATGAATTTTCAGACAGTACTACTAGCTTTTAATTGTTCTCTGCAACCAACAAAATGTTAAGTAATTTAGTTGCTTTAGTAATCTTCTTTTAGACACAAGTTTTAGTTTTGTTTTTATTTCATCTGATAAGCTCTGCTCAACCTTAAATTTTGTAGGCATGAACTATATGTTATTGCAACTGTTTTTACTCGGATTTTCGAAGGAAAAGACGGTTATTGATTTGGGGATGAACGGCGGGCGGGCAGCTGCCAACAGTGTCCATTCATTAAAATGCAAACGCTTTGACGAATTTTCAAATTTTGATATGTTGTTTCCTGTGACAAAATGAAGGTCAAGTTTAATTTTCACGATTTTATCTTCTCTCGTTTTTGAGTTTTCAACTTTTTAGAAGTCCAAATATATACTCATTATATGATTGAGTTATTTCCCTTTGAACATAAATTGTGATTTGCAAATATCATTTTCATTAGATAATAATCTATTATTATCAAAGCATATATTTCATTACATTACAGTGTGTAGATAAAATTGTTGACATTGATAGATAAATTGCAGATCTATATTAGTTTGTGACAAATGAAAGAAAAAATATTGGGAACTATTAATTATATATATAAAGTTTGATTACACTAAGTGTTTTTAAATAATTTTCACCTGTTAATAGATAACAAAACATCTGGTAAATATCTTATCTCACAATTATAATTAGAGTGACAGATTTGTTTGAAAATTTTCTGTTTCCTAAGTGTTGATGATAAGATCTGTAGGACAGTATAAATAAAGTTTGAAATTTACTGTTCATTATTAGACATTTTGAAGATAATTGCAGATAAGTTTTATAGATTTTTAATAGATACATGTATTGTATTAATGATAAATGACATTTTGGATTTTTTTTCATCTTTTCTTTTGTAAATTGTTTGAAGAATTTTGTGGTTGGTTTGTTTGTTATTCTGTATAAACTTATTTTTTGAATGCTATATATATATTTTTTTTGATGAAGCAAACTCCTTTAAAAACTAAGCATAAAAAAAGCTTGAAAACTATAATAAACATATATTTAGATTTCTGATTTTGGGCCCAGAGTTCAAGTTGGTCCAAATTGGGGTCCAAAATTATACTGTGTTTGATTTCAACATAAATTGAATATATATAGGGTTCTTTGAAAAGCTGAATCTAAATCTGTATTTATTTTCATTATTAATTAGATAATACCCCATTGAGGTCCAAAGGGTCCTAAATTAAACTTTTGATTGATTTCATCAACAATTCAAAAATTGAATTCTTGGGGGTTCTTTGATATGTTAATGATAACAATGTTATTAGATTTTGGATATTGGACCATAATAGGTAAATTTCTGATTTCAAATTTTTCAGTTCTTTGACCACATTCATTTTGTGTCAGAAACCTATACTGTGTCAAATATTCAATCACAATCCAAATTCAGAGCTGTTTTAATCTTAAATGTTGTGTCCATACTTGCTCAACTGTCCAGGGTTTGACCTCTGCAGGAAAATTTGGTTTGCTGTCACTCTGACAGCCTCTTGTTGATGTTTGAAATGGTATCAATTTAGAACTTTAATGACATCCTTGACAACCTATGTACACTCTATATTGATAAAGCTCAGTTTAATCAAAGATCAAAACTGCTTTCATTTTATATACATGTCTCATGGGCGATCAACCAATTTTGCTTTCGTTTTAAATATGTCTCATGTGCGATCAAACCCTTTCTCGAACCATAATAGTATGTGTGAAATGTATAAATTCGGCTCCTTTTGTTTTTCAAGGATAAATATAATCAACAAAGATCTAGAATTTGGAATGATATGGCTACAGTATTAATTTTTTGCGCAGACAAGATAAGGCAAGATGAACGTACAAACCGCCGAACCATTATTTTTGGCAAGCCTGTGCTTCACTGGTAGGCAATGAAAGCTACAATCCTCTACGTTAAATGCTAAATAGAGAGATCGTATGAAAAATGAGCCCCGATACGTAGCAAATATTCCCCCCAAGAACTCTTTGGTTTCCATTGCAGCTTATTAATTATAAAATTCAAAGAGAACACCCTAAGTTCCAAACTGGGACCAATTCAGGAACCGGTCTCTTTGGTACATTCAAAGAAGACCCAATTTAATCTCTGTGGGAACACAGAAGAATATAACCCCAAATATAAGCTAGCGTACAATGTGGGGACATGTTCCATTTTCATCTTGCCATATCCCGCTGGCTATACTGTAACGACTTATTTATTTTTAATTTACAACAAATTTGAAATGATAAAATACTGAATTAAAAGTCATACAGATATATATTGAAAATATGAACTGTCAATAATTTTGAAAATATGTCAATTAAACAAGAATTTGATTCGATTAACTGGTGTCTCATTCACTGGCAATATGGCACGTTCTTGTCATGCTGTCAGAGCTGTTAATTCCAGTGGCGGTATATCCATATCTATTTTACATCTCTCCATAACTGCATCCGATCACTTTAAAACCTGAAAAATTTGAACACAGCAGCAGAATTTTTCTTATCTTTATTTTTGGGGGGTGGATGGGGAGGTGGGTGGGATTTTTAGCTAACTATGTTGGCAGCTTTTGCACTCGCCACTTGTTTAACAACGCATGAATGACGTCACGATATGACGTATTTTAGAATGTAACTAAATTCGGAAACAATTAGGAATGATTCGGGAAAAAACGGAGTTCTACTTTTATTAAACCAGTTTATCCTAATATGATAAACTTAATTAATTGGCATTAGAAATAGCAATTCCTTGCTTTTTATTTCAGGTATGATAGAAGAAGGATCATTCCATTACTTAACTAACACAGTTCTTAACCATAAATATCAGATAACAGCCTGTCCTCTTTCTGACAATTTTCCAAAGAGTGAGCTTACCTGGAACAGGTCTACACATTCCTATAAACAGGTATGTGTCCTTGGAAAAAAATTATCTTACAAAAAGATAGTTTTGTCATTTATGCATGATAATAAGAAGACAAATTTTAATTGTATATTGTCAATTGATGAATTATGTTACCCTTGTATACTAAAACTAAGGTTACTCTGGCAAAGTTGATTTTAGAAGGATTTGCTTATTCTATTAACACCATTTTGGTTTTGAAGTTTCAAAACATTTTATATAATGTTGATTCATTTGTTTTTATGTGTTCCAATTTTCATGGATTGAGGAACAAATAGATTTTGTCAAAGTCTGCATACAATCAAAACTTGTACTATGTTGAACACTTAAATTCTTTGTTCACCTATACCCGAAACCCATGAAAATTACTATCCCACGAATTATACTTAATCCACAGCATGGCTTCCAAAAAACCTTGGTCTTAAGAGAATACCTGTAGAAGGCTATTCCAGTGAGGTATCTTCAAGGACTGAAATAGATATGGTGTATGTGTATAATTATGATCCGAATATGATAAATTTGCATAAGAGTATTAGAGGTAATATGTTCTCTTCCTGAATGATGGGTTAAACTAAAGACTTTGGATTGGTATTTGCTGCTTCTTTGCGAAGCATGTAACATTTAGGAGTAAGAGCAAACATCTGCAAGTCTGGAGTCTAAATGATGTGACCAAGAGTGGTGCCAAGATTTTTTTTTAATGTTACCTTGTGAAACAATACATTTATATTATAGTTTAGTATTTTAGTCTAGTACAAATAGGAATAAAGCGAGATATGACAGCAACCCAACAAATAAAACAAAACAATCCATATCTCATGAATACAGAAGTGTCTGTACATAAATGTACATAAAGAATAGTATTGTTAACTTCAAGCTGGTAATTTTTCAACTTAATTTCAGAATGAAAACATGCTAATTTTTAAATATGAATATAAACTAGGGCTTGTATCCAGTGTCTGCAGCAATGTATACTTGTATATGTTGAAAATAAAGAAAAAAAATATTGCTATTAATCAATACATTATTATTAAACATATTCTAGGTTTATGAAATTCCCAAGTATTAAATTCGGATGCTGGGAAAAAGTATTCTTTTCATAATTGAAAAGCCAAAAGAATTGCTGCAGATTTAAAAAATAGTAATTTTTCACAGGTTGGAGTAATGGTTGATGAAGAAAGTAGTGTTGTGAATTCTGTGTTGTTAGGAGATGTAGAAGTTGGGAAGAAATCTGTTGTATGTGGATGCCATATTGGTGGACGGGTTGTTATACAGTCTGACTCATTTATCTCAGGATTAAAAATAGAACACTATCAGGTAGGTGTAAATGTGTTTGCTGCACCAATTACGTAAATGTATTCATGAATTAAAGAGTGTAGAATCATATTTGAAAGTCATATTGACTAACATGGCATGAACTTCAAAGTTCTCCAGGTTTAGAAAAATAAATATTCAGTCCATATAATTTATTATTTATAGCCACTGTCTTGGCCATGTTTCCCTTTTGTCAACAAACAAAAAAAGTTAGTATGAAATGCTGAAAAAATCTTAAGAGTAAATTCAGATATACTGGTTATAGGAATTATCTATAATATGACTTTTGTATTTTTAAAGAAAGAACATAAATGACCCCTTGAACAATATTTGCACTACATATGTTTGACAGAATTATCAATTCATATGGAAAAGTCTGTTGTTTTGTGGTTTTTGTTCAGTACATGTATTTTTATTCAACAAACATTTTCCTGAAAGCATACAATTTTTTCTTTGCATTTCTTTTTATTGAAACCTCTTTCTTTTTATAATACACCAAAAGCATAACAGGAGTTACCAAAAATATCAAAGTATTATGTAATAAATATGTGCACACATCTATTTCTTTGTTTCTTTTTTAGACAAAGAAGACAATAAAGTTTGCTGATGCTGTTGTTGTACAAGGTTACAATATTCATATCAAATCACTGGGAATGACCAAATATGTTTTAACTACACATGGTAGATTTGATCTCATTCAGGTAAATCAAAAGGAATTAAGTTTAGAAATTAAATATGTATATATCATATTTATTAAGATGTTTTGGATAGTAGGCAAAACTCTGAAATAGCCATCAAATCTTCTATATGGTCTATTGGCTTATCCTGCTTCTATGAACCCTTTGTGTGCTGTTTTTGTCTGGCCTGCAATGAATGTTTCAGTAGGCAAGACTTGGATACTACTATACACTGGTGGCAGCATCAATTTGCAAAAAATCAAAAAGCCAAAATAATGTTTGGCTGACAAGATCTTATCATAAACAACCTTGTCAGCAAGACATTAATTTCATTTTGATGTTAAATTATACAATGAGGTCTGTTCCTAGAATAATGTTCATTGAGATAGATCAACAGTATATTGCATGAGGCTTTGACTCCATCTGTCATATATTATATGTCCTTGGCACCATGTTCATGCTCCAACAGTTAGGTTAAGTGTTAAGGATGATGTCATGTTCTAAGCTTTTACAAATACATGACAGGTCAACAATATTTGGTATGTGGATTTTAAGGAATAGACGTCTGTCTGATATTATAATGATATATAACATATGGCTTTGGCTTTGTTTTCATGTTCCAGTGGTCAGGTTCAAGTTTTTGGTCAATACTTAGTGGATTGAGATAATTTTTAGTGGTCAGGTTTTTCTTGAAATCTTTAACTTATTAGTACAGTAAATTTAAAATTAAACCTTTTTTTTTATTGTTTTACATAGTTCAGTTCTATTTGATGATATATTGAAGATACTAAACTTTATTTTGCAAGTTACCAATGTGGAGATCAACAAGTAGCTTTTGCAATAGTCCTTGGATAGTTATGATGAATAGAACAGGGATGATAAAAGAAGATCTGTGGTCATCTGATATTGTAAGTACCAGGTATATTTGTAGCAGACTCAGATATTTGAGTACATCTAATAAATTATACTCTGGACTGCTGTAGTTCTCATGCTTTATCTAAATCTCATTGGTAATTCTTTTCATATTCAGCTGAGATACCATATTACAATGAATGATATATACTTATATACCCTGGACACATGGAAATCAAGCTGGATGCATCATTTTTGAAACCTGTGAGTCCCCGGGACGCATCCTTGTTGTATCCCCTGAGTCCCAAACACATCGTTTTGCCAAGAAGATTCATGATCGTCACGTTGTTTTGACAGGAAACTAAACCGGAAGTCGATGTTGAAAAATTATGTAATGCATAGATGAATATTTTTGTTGACTGATAACTATTTTTTAAAATTAAACGTATATAATTCTGTTCAAACTGTTTAATAAATATGTAATAGTTACCGATTTTTAAAAAAATTAATGAGTATTTGAAAAGATTTAATATTTCCACGTGTTGAACATCACGTATTTATAAATTGAACCAAAGAAAGTAAAAATTTTTGAGAACATGAAATGAAATGATATAATATTTCATAACTGTTGCTACTATGCATAAAACAGATCATAGAACAATGTTGATTTGAAATTTTACGGATAAGAATAATTCTACTGGTCTTCGAATGATTTAACATTTTTCTTGTATTGTGCATGTTGAACATCGCGATCGTAAACAAGGTGAAAATGTAAACAAAGTGAAAAATGTTTTGAATGACGATTAAAAAATGATTAAAGAATAATTACTATTCAGCCTTTAGCAAGCTCAATATTTTGAACAGTGTTCACTTTAGATTTGCTTGTTTTTATATTCATGAAATGCATGTATCTCTTTTTATTGTGTAAAAAAATTATACTAATGTATCAAGGGATTTGAAATAAGAATATTTTTTAATTTATTGCCCCTGTATTATATAATTAACCTGTAAATGGCTGTTTTTGGGGGCTATGTTCAAACATTGGTCTACTATCTTTCTATCTCCTTTTAGGTTTGCCTTTTAATATTGATAAAAATTATGACTTGAAAAGGAATAGTTGTAGGGTGCCATAGGGTTATTTAATTTTTCAGTTGTTATTCTGGTGTCCAAAGTTGGATTGATTGATTGATTGATTGACTGTTGTTTAACACCACTTTCAGTACTGTTGTGCTATTTCGTAATCACATGTTGGTGATATAATAAAAACTACCGATCAAACATGCATCGTTTTAGTTTTATTTCATCATATTATAAGACACAAAAAATTACACGCATCCTGGACTCATCAAAATCTATTGGGACTCACCATTTCTAAAAGTGATGAGTCCCAGGACTCACCATGAAAAATTCCTAGTGAGAACCCTGCTCTGTAGTTCTCATGCGTTATCTCAATCTTATTGGTTAGCATTTTCATATTCACCTGAGATACCATACTACATTGAATGCTATAGACTTACAATAATACAGACTGTTATAATGTATAGGATGAAATAATTGCCACTATGTATATTTTAGCCTTTGTGAAATAATGCACATTTTTTACTGCCTCATTGTAAATTTATTGGCCAGCCTCAGACTGCTACTTACTAGATAAATGGTTTTAATTTGTTATATGGTCCATCAAATGATAAGCAATTTTTGTTTTTTTCGATTTAAGTGTAAAAATATTTATTTGTATTATTTAAAATGATTTAATACATTCTGTTGAAGATAGGCATAAAACAATTCTTTAAGTAATGTGACTTTACAACAGGAAATTCTGACACTACAGTTGTGATTAAAGCATTCCCTCAAAGGATGACATTGGCTGGATATATTTGATTCCTCAATCACTTAAGGATGTACTTAGGTGAAATTAAAAAAATCTAGAAGTTAAAATTGATACTATAAGTCGGAAGAACATTAGTTAAGTGACAAAATAAGCTAAAAATTGATAGGTTATGGAGCTCCTTTTTGAGATATTTATTTTTTTTAAAATGGTAGGAAAAGGCTGACTCAGACTTTTACCTTATATTTGCATTGGTATTATTTGGGTCTCAAATCGAAAGAAAAGAAATCTAGAATCTGCTTTAATTTTGGTAAATGACCTTTTATGAGCTATTGAAAAATGGGTGTTATGGGGCAAAATATTTTACCCTGTATCAAAGGAAAAAAACCAAGGAGTCTGAACATCTGCCATACATTCCTTAACCTGACCTAAGTATATCCTTATGTCTGTTCTATAATAGCTAATAATGTATTCAGCTGAATTATTCTTGTTGAATACTGCAGCTTAATGTGACAATATACGTGATTTTAGAAACATATTTATTAAATCTTATTTTAGGACAATGACAGTCAGTCGATAATGACAGCCAAATTGTTCCCTGTGTTCCATGCCATAGAACAAGTTGGGTTAAAGGAAATTCTCTGGCTTCAAGGTCAAATAGAGGATAAGGATGGATCAATATTAAAAAGGTATGGTGTACAAAGGTGTCAACTCTCTAGGCATAAGAAGAAACCTATTATTTGTTATAATTTTGAAATCTCCCTCTGAAGACCAATCCACTGAGACGTCAGTTAACTATTTCCATTTTGATAAAAATATCTTTTTTCTGGTAATTTCCTTCGCATTTAACATTGCTTGAAACTAAATAATTGGTTAGCCTTTAAATATTTACAAATTATTATCAAAGATCATTTATTAATGATTGGATTCATTTGAATGATCTTCATAAGGATTTTATAATTAAAAACATTTGTAATACAAAAAGGAAAGAGTTGAAATAACATTAAAGATAACAACACAGATTTGTTTCCTCTGCAGATCTCCCTATCCAAAAAAGATCATTAGAGATTTTAAAGATAGTATGATATCTTCATTTCAATTTTGATTCATTTGTAAGCCTATCAGAATATTATTTCTTACCAGTTATGTTCTTTTTGTCAAGCTGAAACATTTTGTTGCAAAAGTGTGACATAGCGATCCTATATTCTGTCAACGTCATCAACATTTTCATCCGTCTGTGGTTAAAGTTTTTTTAAAACATCAATAACTTTATCAAACCTTTACAGAAATCAGTTCGAAATTGTTTTTGCTTGGGCTGTGTACCTGTGTTTAGGTGTGCTTAAGGCATATAAAAACTTTCAATACAAATCGTTCTTGTTTTCCTAAAGAAAATGTGTTCATAGAAAAGGTGACAACAAAATAAAAAAAATTATAGTGAATTGCATGTTTGATAAAATTGTACACGTTTATTTGGTTTTTAAAAAATATTTCAACTGATTTAATCATGAAGGATGAAAATTGTCATATACATATCATATTCTTAAGGATGTAGTATCAGTTAACATATCTTCGCCTGTTGATTGTTGCTTTGAATATTCTCACAGTAAAAGGGATTCAATAGTTCAATAATATTTTAGCTTGAAAATAGTACAGCTGACTTAATGTTTTTTTTAGATAAATTATGGTGCTGTTAAAAAATTGTGATAGTTTTGATGATTATTTGATTATACTGTATAGTTTTTTTTTAATTTTAGGTGGAGATCATCATGGAGGTTATCTCTACAAGAAATTTTAGACTTAGTAAACATTGAAGAGGAGTTTCATTGGAAGAGGTATTAAATACTGCTTTTATCTTAAATGCTTATAGACTGGTTTATCTATCATTGACCTAGAAAACATGGGCGCATCCATTAACCTCTCACGTGACCGATCCGCCGTTACAACTGTGAAAAATAACGCACGTGTATTGATCAAAACATTATCGATTTTCTGTTTACATTTGTATTTCCTTCATTTTTTTGTTTATTTCACTATGGATACTGCCGAAAGTTATAAAAAAGGTGGAGGCATTTCTTGTGCAGTTAATAGTTGTACAAATAATAGTAGAAAATTTCAGATGTGGAAAAACTCAATAAATAAAATATGTGAATTATACAAGTTGTGCCGACTGCACACAATCCGTTTTTTTTTAATAAAACTTGTTATGAAAGTAAAATTACACTGGCAGACCAATGTTGACACATCGTCAAACGACTGTAAAATAACTTAAAGTATCTATGAAAATTAATCCGATGACTACAGTGCATCTGCCTCTGTTTGTATAGAATATCTACACATCAGATGCGGATCCAGAATTTTGAAAGGGGGGGGGGGGGGGGGGGGGGGGGGGGGGGGGGCGCGGGTCCCCAAACAAGACATAATTTGTAGTGGAAGCGGTTAAAAGTATGGATTAACCATGAAAGAAGCTTCATTAGGGGGGCCGGGCATGCCCTAAATCCATTCATGCACATTTCTTTATAATAACAATGAAACCTACCCCGAGGCTACATGCATGTATTTATAATTGAATGCAAATCAGCCAAGTATGAAGAGACAAACTTTTTTTTATACATGACGACTATCTTTATGCTGCAAAATGGACAGACGTTCCGGCAACATTAACTCAGACAAACATATTGTTAAAAGAGGAGTAAGGAGTTCAAAATTGAATAAAAGGGGGAAACCACGTCAGCGTATATACATATTATGAATGACAGTTACGCCTTATTGTATACTTGTGTAACTAAGTTTTCTTTACTTAAGTGGAATTACTACACAAATATAATTTTCAACTACAATACTGCAGATCAGCTGTTCAATTCATGCCGAGACAAAAGTGATACGAAAACGTCACTCAATTTTGAGCAGTATACGTGAGTCGAACCACGAGCAAATCATCAAACAGTACATGTCTATAGGTATATTTTTTTCAGAAGATGTAAGTAACAGCGCGCTGGAGAAAACATGCTGTCCAATTATAGGATCGTTGGATTAGAGGATCGTTGAATTTTACGACTGCCTCATTATAGGTCTGACCACAGAAATTTCTGAGTTTGATAAAATTGCACCTGGTTTTTCTGATATATCACATTCGAACCGGCAAGACAATTTATTTTTATTTATGTATGTGTTATAATAATCAATATTATGATTACCAAATGATTATAATCGATATGTAACCTGGGATTAGTATTCGTATATATTATGTCCCGGTTGTAACGTATCACATACTAGTACCGTGAGTTATATTTTAAGGACACAACGCCTGGCCTACAATACACTTATAATTTAATGTCCATTCCTTATCTAATTACTTTATTATTTATTCCTTATTCTTGTTTACATTTTTTTCACGGTTGTAATGGTGGATCGCTACTACGACGACACCTAGGAGTCACGTCACAAACTAAGGCAGATAATTGGAAAAACCTGTCTATATATCTGTATGTAGCAGAACAATGTTAACTTTAGAAAATTGTAGTTCACAACTTCACAGTTCAATCTTGTGCAAGAATTTTTTAAACGTTCATTACAGTTTATGAAATTTCATTATATAACCTATTTTAGGCTCGGTAGACAAAAGGGTACTATGGCCATCACATTGTATCCGCTGCTAATCATTTCTTTAAGTTGTTAAAAATCTTCTTACTTGAAACCACACTGCCAAATGAAACCAAACTTTGCCAATATGATTATTAGGATGTCTGACTTCATAAATGTTTCCTGCCAACCGACCAACATTGTCACCATTGATATAACTCCAACTAAATTGTAAAATAGGGAAAATGATCATCTTTAGTGATGATTACTGTAAATGTATGGCTGATATTTAGGATATTGTTGTGCAATAAAGAGTTACCTTTTAAAAAACTATCAGTTTTGTTCCAGTTGACCTTCTTTGACATACTGTTGATTCATTATTATTCTTGGGATACCAATTTTCATGGGTGTCGGTAAACCACAAATTTAAATGATCCATGAAATACACATTATCTATAGGCTTGTACGCAAAATTTGCCAAAACCATAAAAATCAAATATCTACATAAATAAAAGTTTTCCTCAATCCTCAAACAAATTAGTCCACAGATTGAGCCATATGATGAATACAGCAGCTTTTCCTTTTGTTGTCAACCCTGCCAGAAGATATTGAGCTGATATTTGGTAAAAAAAATGAGTATCTACTTATAAATTATTCTTTTTATTTAACTTAACAGTTTGAAAAATTAAAAAAAATTCTGATCCATTTGCAGTTAATTTTAGGTGAATTTACCTGAGACAAGCTCAACTAGATTCAATAAATACAAGCATCTGCTACCTAATTTTTGCAGAATAATATTTCAAGGCTGAAAGCTATATAGTTTTTGTAAATGTTTGTTTCTTTCCAAGTAACATTATTGAGTGAATAGGATTTACCACATCAGGAATTACTGCAACAAAAATATTGGGAGATAATTTCAGAAATTTTTGTGATGTTTTTATTTGTACAACAAAGTTTCAGTAGTTCAAAGTATAAAGCTTGACTAAGTTATTCTCTGTAACATTGCACTGGGTGATTGCCAGTGAATGATTCAGGATTTTTTAGCTGAAATAAATCAATATTTCATATATTTTGGGGTAAAATTTATCACATGTACCCCATAATAATTAGCTGATATTTTGTTTGAGGTTTTGATTATTTCTACAAGCTTACAAGATATAAGTAAATATGTACAGTAATTTATTTACCTGACCCTTTACTGTATAGAACTTAACAAGTAACATACATATGGTATCTTTGATTCTACAGAGAATCAAAAATATCCTTTAACTGTGAAACAGTTATTTTAAGTTGTTCTTCTATTTGAATTACTTTAAGTTATGATTTTGTTGAGAATATGCAGAGAAAATTTAGAAATCTTTAGATAAAAAAAAAAAACACTGTCCTAGAATAAACATTAACATTTGGGTCAAAATTTTGAGGTTTTGTCTTTAGAATTTATTTCATTGGGATTAACTTTCAAGGCTTTCAGTCTTTGAAAGAAATTTTCTATTAAGGTTTATTTTTTGTTTGGGTTATAAATGTTATGGACTACATTTATCCAAGAAATAAAAATTGAAACCCGACAAAAATTGCCTCATTTAGAGTAATGAAATTATTATGCTTTAATCTAGATCTTTCTTCTTTTTAGGCAGCTATTTTATGATGTGAGTCAAAGAAATATAGAAGATGGATTAAAAGAAAAGAAAAATATAGGATTTAGAAGTATTTATACTAGTGCTGTAACTGATGGATTTGCTGATGTTATACTTAAAACACTAGATGAAGGTATGTAGCCATTGCTTCTTTAAAATTCTAAATAAAGGTGTGAAGTCATTGATAACTTAAATAGCTAGATGAAGGTGTGTTGTCATTGATTACTTAATACACTAGATGAAGGTATGTAGTCATTGATAACTTAATACACTAGATGAAGGTATGTAGTCATTGATAACTCAATACACTAGATGACGTCTGTAATCATTGAAAACTTAAAACACTAGATGAAGGTATGTAGTCATTGATAACTTAATACACTAGATGAAGGTATGTAGTCATTGATAACTTTATACACTAGATGAAGGTATGTAGTCATTAATAACTTAATACACTAGACGAAGGTATGTAGTCATTGATAACTTAAAACACTAGATGAAGGTATGTAGTCATTGATAACTTAATACACTAGATGAAGTCTGTAATCATTGAAAACTTAAATACTAGATGAAGGTATGTAGTCATTGATAACTTAATACACTAGATGAAGGTATGTAGTCATTGATAACTTAATACACTAGATGAAGGTATGTATTCATTGATAACTTAAAACACTAGATGAAGGTATGTAATCATTGATAACTTAAAACACTAGATGAAGGTATGTAGTCATTGATAACTTAATGCACTAGATCAGGTCTGTAATCATTAAAAACTTAAATACTAGATGAAGGTATGTAGTCATTGATAACTTAAAACACTAGATGAAGGTATGTAGTCATTGATAACTTAAATACTAGATGAAGGTATGTAGTCATTGATAACTTAATACACTAGATGAAGTCTGTAATCATTGAAAACTTAAATACTAGATGAAGGTATATAGTCATTGATAACTTAAAACACTAGATGAAGGTATGAAGTCATTGATAACTTAAAACACTAGATGAAGGTATGTAGTCATTGATAACTTAAAATACTAGATGAAGTTGTGTAGTCATTGATAACTTAATACATAAGATGAAGGTATGTAATCATTGATAACTTAAATTACTAGATGAAGTTATGTAGATTTGTTAACACAAAACATTATATGAATGTGTGTAATTGTTGAAAACTAAAACTCTCGATGAAGGTATGTAATCATTGATAACTTAAAACACTAGATGAAGGTATGTAGTTTTTGTTAGCATAAAACATTAGATGAATGTATAAAGTCATTGATAACTAAAACGCTAGATGAAGGTATGTAGTAATTGAAAACTTAATACATTAGATGAAGGTGTGTAGTTTTTGTTAACATAAAACATTAGATGAATGAATGTAGTCGTTGATAACTAAAACACTAGATGAAGGTATGTAGTCATTGAAAACTTAATACATTAGAATGAGGTGTGTAGTTTTTGTTAACATAAAACATTAGATGAATGTTTGTAGTTGTTGATAACTAAACCATTAGATGAAGGTATGTAGTCATTGATAACTTAATACATTAGATGAAAGTGTGAAGTTTTTGTTAACATAAAACATTAGATGAATGTGTGTAGTCGTTGATAACTCAAACACTTAGATGAAGGTTGTGTAAATTTTGATAACTTAAGACACTAGATAAAGGTGTGTAGTCATTCTTTGGTAATTGACAGTCAGTTTTGGTTATTGGAGTACAAATTTAATTGCTCATGTATTGTTATTGAAAAGTCAACTAAATTTGGTCTGTATGTCTACTCTTGTTAAGGATAATCATATAAAGTTTTAGTCATTTACATATAATTTGTTTTCTTTCATAGTGGCAGCTAACAGTGAAGGTGAACCAGGTGTGACAGCAAGGACCCTTGCTAATATAGCTGATGTTCTGGGATGCATGGGAGGTGCACAAGGTGGATTGAGGAGTGGACCTGCAGCTAATAAGTCTTGGGCTAAAGCTTTCCATCTTTTAGAAGTAAGAGAGTGCATGGTGCACAGCTTAAAGTCTTAACTTGTTTATGAGAGAACTCAAACTTTTATGAAGTGTTAGAGCCAAAACATAATTTAAGCTGACTTCAAATGGATATGAGACATAATAGTATGATTAATGGGAGATAAATGTTTATAAAAAGGCAGTGTCACAACAATACAATTAATAGTTAGCCTCACTGGTCTTTTCTAAAAACATTTTCAGCTATAAGAGATGAGATAGGCTATACCTGTGTATTAAAGTTAAACAGGTTTGACTTAGGACTGGATTTGCGGGAACATCATAAATTCATAAATTCCTATGTGCATTTGATACTGAATAATTAGGGCCCCGCCGAATGGCGGACGCCCTATAGTGATCAGTCTGTCCGTCCGTCTGTCCATCCGTCTGTCCGTAACAAATTGTGTCCGTTCTATATCTAGAGAACCGTAATGATTTCAAAGTTTACACTTGACATGTATATAGACCAACACTGGAGGGTGTGTCATAATGTATGTACAACTTCCTAGGTCAAAGGTCAAGGTCAAAAACTTTGGTTTTAGTTGACAACCCCATGTCCTATGGTAAAGATCGTGTCCGCTCTATATCTTGAGAACCGTTATGGTTTCAAAGTTTATATTTGACATGTATATAAACCAACACCAGAGGGTGTGTCATAATTTATGTACAACTTCCTAGGTCACAGGACAAGGTAAAAAACTTTGGTTTCAGTTGACAACCCCATGTCCAATGATAAAGATACAAATTTTTTACCACACATTATTCACAGCGGGGCCCACAGAGATGGCTCCCATTTCAATGATATCTAGTTATTACAATTTCAGGGAATGCTGCATACAAATAATGCCAACAAAATTTACAATGCAAGTTTTTATTTTGGTGAAATCAAACCTTTAAGATTGGAGATAAAAGATGTTGCATAATTCTATAATTGGTGGTAGACTTGTTTCTGATAAAAGTATTTTGCTATAGAGTCTTCATTTTAATCGAAGAAAATTGATATGCAAGTAAAAGCATTTAAAACTTGGAAAACTGCCTTAGTAGATGATATTTGAAGCATACAAATCAAAATAGCTCTGCTAGAACAACAAGACTTTAATCTGTTTCTAATCAGTACCTGTAAATCTCTACATAAAGATTGGAACAGTTACAAGAAAGAAGGTACACCCATTTGTAGTTTTCAAAATTATATTATTTAATGTAGCCTTCTTACAGATATGTTATGTCTGATGAAAAAATATAATACACATCTTGTCTTACTCACATCCAATAGCTAATTTTAACACAGGATGGGCTTTCTTAAAGTTTTCTTTTTTCGGTTTTCTCTCATACCATGCCACAGTACTTTTTGGATTTATACTAGTGTTTTAGTGTGTGTTGATCAAGATTGATGTTATAAATACAATAACAAGTTTCTTCTCTTGAAAAAATGTACTAATTTCTAGATTGGAGACTTGAAAAATGGAATTGCAGCTTTAGCAAAGGAACGATCTAAATGGTTAAGTCGACCTGACTTATGTATTAGGGCAGCTAGGCATTATGAAGGAGCTGCTTCCATCTTCATTAGACATGCTGTCAAAACTGTCAAAGAAGTTAGTAGATAATCTATGATAAAGAATTGTTCTCATCTCATGTAGTTTCCTCCTTTTAATTTTTCTTTTATGGATTTTTTTTTGCTTGTATACAATGAACTTGTAAATTGATAATGGTATGTCCTTTTTATTTGCCTTTTTTTGGTAAAAACAGATTTTTTTTCATTGTAAGTTTTTTATCTACTTGACTAATAAATCTGGATTTTTAACATGATGTTTACCAACATTAAGGTTGAGATTTATATTTCAGATTCAACCTTATTGATTTCTGAAAATAGTCAAAATGTTATTTATGTAAATCTTGATACATATCATATCTGCAATGTGAAAGTGAAATAACTTTATTTTCAATATTAAATATGAAAAATGAGTGTTTAGAAGTTGTATGGTAATGTGAATTCTATGTTTAAAACCATACGGTTGATTTGGTTTTCTCACAGGTTATTCATTTCTTAAAATTCAATCATAAACCATGTACAATCCTGATATTATTATTTTGAAAATTCATGTAAATTTCTATTTTTAAATTCTCACTGTGAATTTTGTCTTTTCTGTGTCAATAGTTGTGTAAACCAGTCTTAGGCATGCTGTTTCTGGTGTCAATGGCATCAATTCTTGTTGAAATAAAAAAAAAAAAAAAAAGGATGAAATGATTGCTAATGAGACAACTATATTTAGACAAGAAGAGCAATGAATATGAAGATAGTCATACTTTTTGGTGACAAGACTTTTACACTCATTGTTTAAGTTGAGTGTATTGTATTCCAAGACAATGTCAGTTGTTTACTGTATAAACTGGAGGATACAATGAAAATTCGTTGAGTAAAACTTGTACGGTATTATTTTTGTGAGCATTTTCCATCAGCAAACATTTGATTAATCCTCAGTTTTTGGTATTATTTTTTTTAATTCAATTGTTTGAAATGAATATATATTTCACATGCATTGATATTGCAGATCTTGGTTTATACAATTTAATTGTTATTTTTGTGTACTGTATTTTATATATTTTTTAGTTCTTTAAACCAGAGTCATGTGAGCTACCTCCACTAGGTAAATGGTTGACAGCAGAATGTCCCGCTAGGATAGATGTTTCTGGAGGCTGGTCTGATACCCCACCAATAACATATGAACATGGAGGAGCAGTTACCATGGTAGCCTTACTTGTTAATGGAAAGGTAAACTATCAATTGATATACTAATACAAAAATTTATTAGGGTATTATCCACATAACTGTTTATTAAGATAGTCATGAATAAAAACTCCAACAGCAGCAAATGTGCTCACTTAAATTTTATCCTTAACTGAGTGAATTACATTCAGTTCTTATATACTATGTATTCTACAGTCATGCAAACAGTAGTAATATTCAATTAGAGCAATCTACCAGTAGCCTTTTTAACCAAAGTTGGTCATTCACAAAGTTTCATTTTATTCCATATAGAGTGCAACATGTATAACTGCACATGCTCTCATAAAACAATAAAAACAAATGATGGCTTGATTTAACTTGTAATTTCATGGTTGTAGCATAAAAATGTAATTATAAGAAATGAATGCTTCTTTCTGTAATTCATAGGGTTGTAAGTCTTCAAGAACATGAGTTGTGTATTAGCTGTACTTGGCTTTGTTTGATCTAGCTAACAGTATTTGTGCATTGTCTCTATTGTTTTAACGTTAGTGGTTTCTCTACTTTGTACCGATCTTTTGGTCCGAGTACACAGTTATTTTGTAGTGCATTTCTTTTAGACACATAAATGAAAATTTATAAAATCCCACCTGCGCTTTCTCAATAATTTTTCTACAGTGTGTTGTACTACTTTTGAGAAAAATTATATCAAAATTATAGAAAACTTCATCGGCTCTAACTCAAAATATGGACAATTTTATGTTAAGGGGGTCTTGAAATCTTTTGACAGCTTGCGAAGTGCTAATTTTTAACATTTTTCAGCTGGACCAAATCACTACTTAACTTCAAAATTCATGACCCAAATTTTTTTACAGTCTCATTTCACTCCCCCCCCCCCCCACCCCCCCTTACTTGCTATTTGAGTCATAAAACATGGAGAAATAAATTTGGAAGGGGTATAAAAATAATTGGCAAGTAACCCACTGTCCACACTAGGGACGAAAATCATAGGACGATAACTGTGTACTCGGACCTTTTGCTTTAGACTGGTTTTAATAGTTCTTATGTACTGCTGTAAGACCACTGTCACACGTTGGGAGGGGGAGAGGGTACCGTAGGCGCTCACAAACATATACCACCGACACATTTTGAATGTGCCTGTCTTAAATTAGGAGCATATAGATCAGTGGTTGTCGCGTTGATTCATGTCTGTCAATTTTTTTCTACGGAAATTATTTTGTTATAAATAAGTTAGTTTTCTCGTTAAAATTGTTTCACATTTTCACGTTGAGAACTTTTATAGCCAAATATACGGTATGGGGTTTCTCATTATTGGAGGCCGTACAGTAAACGACACTTTCTTCATTTATTATAAAGTTTCCATTTTAAAAAGAAATGTTTTTCACCATCTGAATCTTTACCAACTAAATAGTTGTCAATAATTATATTCGATGTTCAATATAAAAAAATTGAGAATGGAAATATGGAATGTGTCAGAAAAAGAATGTAAAAGACTTATGATTCACATTCTCGTATCATTTCCTTGTTTGCTTTTTATGCTTTTTGTCTAACAATTTCTTATGAAGTTATAGACTTGCAAGCATACAAGAATATTATTTTTCCATCTCAAGAAGTCAATTAAAAAATGCATCTGTTATAAACCTTTTTATATCTGCATATTCTTAAAATCAATAAAAATAAGATCTATATACAGGTTGTCTATTAGTTATCAACACGGGTTAGGGTATTTAATTGGTAGTGCATAGGGTATTGTATGGTCGTACTACAGGTATTCATTAAACATATATGATCAGGTAGTTGTACCTGTTTTACTGTACACAACAATAATATATTCCAATCTCACCTGTGCCCTCGGCAAAACCAACATCCAGGATGTACACAAAGAGCTTATGAAGTAATATTGCGTAATCACTATATGTCTTATCAATCCCCCATGTGGAGTGACACCTGAAGTTTGCAACTTCAAACGAGACCTGAAATTGCGAAACTCAATCATCTGTACCGTATACCTGTGACCTATGATGAACTCATGGCATGGCACCCGAGACCCCAACTCTGAATTCCCTATGAAAGTGGGCGGAAAGAAGTGTAGTTTGGGCTTGTTAAAAAGTCCCATCTTTACACCTTCTAAGTCTGCGTGTCATTCAAAATAGAAAATATCATGTCAATATTCTTTTTAATTATATTGTTGAATCCATCGGCATCACACATAATATCATTGTTTATCACTGTCGTGTGTTTTGTTGGATAATAATCGAAACTAAATTTGTGCTGTACCCATATGTCAATGTGAATGAATGTAACCACTGACGTAGTAGCCTCGTTCTGAGTGACTTCCGGGATGGAAATATGCATATTTGACAGGTCGATAAATTGTTGCATTAAAATCTCATTAAAATACATATTTTTCTAAATAGTTGACACTTATATTGCTATCGATGTATTTTTGGGGAAAGTTAAGTATAAATAAACATTTTGAAACACAAATTGAAAATCGTGTCATGTCTCCTTTAACTCCACAATAAAATTTAAAAAGTAGTTTTCAATTCTTAAATAAAATACTACAGAGTGCCTAAATTACTGCACTAATATTCAGAAATTATTGAAATGTATAAAAGATAAATTTGTCAACCATTTAAAATCCTTGACCTTTTTTGGTAAATTCATAACTTTTTATACATTTTGAATCAAATATGTACCATGTATACAAAGAATTTTATTTTTATTTCAGAAACCTGTTGGTGCTAGGGTCAAAAGGATTCCTGAGTAAGTACTGGTATTATAATACTGAGTGTTGCAAGATTTGTTGATAGGTGGTCTTTAATGATAAGTTTGTTAATGAATTCATATGTGAAAAGCTATGATGACATAGTCTGTGTTTTATGTCAGAATAGAATATTTTTATATTTAACAAAAAGTTGTCTTGAATTGAGATATTGTGCTTGGAAAATGTTACTGAATCTGTTCTTACACTTCTTTAAAAAAAAATAACAGATTAAATAAGAAAGTTGGAGGTCAGTGTTGATGATTTGTAAATTAAGAGTAGAAATATTGTTTGATTATTTCAGACTGAAATTAGTATTTGTTATTATAAATAATGGAGTTGAAAGTTCAAGGGTTGTATGTGAAGAACTTCACGACCTGGAGGATTATAATCAACCTTATGCTTCTGGTGAGTTTCTTTGCCATAAAATATGTGTTTGGAGAGGGAGGCCTTTCACTTTTTAGGTGTTTGTGATGATAGTTATAAACCTTTAGGTTATAGGTAGGTTATTGTTAAATAGATATAATATCAACATGTCACTTCATTGGTAAATACTGTGAAATTTGTTAAAACGGAAACCCTCAAGGACTAACTATCAGATTAAAAATGTGTTTGGTGTACATGGGTTCAATTAATAAAGAAAAAATACTTTATGTTCATATACAAGAGTTCAATTTAGATAGTTTTCAGGTTATGTAGGGTTTGGTTAGACTATTTTCATTAGATTTTAAGAATTTGAGTTTGTGTTTGATTTCAAAAAAGTGCTTCCAGTATTGAAGCAAACATTTTGTCACATGGTGTGTAACTACTCCAACAGTAACAAATGGACTGAACAAAATCCTTTATGATATATTTGTTACAAAATTCTATTGTAAACATCAAAATTTTTTCACTTATTGATATTCCATGCTATATAATAATAAGGACATATGGTTTGATTGCTAATGAGACAACTATCCAACAAAGATCAAAAGGATAAAGATTTAAACAACTACAGATCACTGTACAGTCATCAACAATGAGCAAATCCCATACTGTATAGTAAGTTTTAAAAGACCCAGCGAAGAAAGAAATGTATAACAATTCACAAAAGAAAACCAACAGTATGATATGCTAATAACATTGAATGAAAAAACATGTATGGGAGTCAGCAGTCCAAATAATTATGACGTCTTGAAAGGCTATTTTAATTTTTTGCTGTGACCTCTTCCTAAGAAGTCATAACACTGAAGCCATTTTTTTTGTCTGGACTTCGAGAGAGAATTTTGCTCTCAACTTGGAGACCTAATTTTGCCATGAAATCTTCATTGAGGGCTAGAAATTCTTGCATATTTCAAGTTCTAACCTTTTGTGTACTTGTTGGTGCAAAACATTTCCAGAAATATCCAAAAGTAATAATGAAATACTGTAAGTTCAATTCCATCTAGGACGTGCCATGACCTACTTTGTTTTTAAAATGGTTTCCCAGATTTCCCAAGATCCTTCACTATTGGAGAGTATAGAATAAATTTTCAAACCAAACTCATTAAAATTTGATGGAACCAAATTTCTGGAACGTTTGATTTATATTATCCTTCAAACTTCTACTAGCCATAAATAAATAAATTTAGAAATACTGTAAGTTATATTGTTGAATTTGACATAACCTTGACACAAAAAAAGTATGGGTGAAATAATTATATTTTTAGTATTTTTTATTCCATGTAGGTGCACTTCTAAAAGCTACGTTTATATGTGGTGGTATTATTGATTTAGAATCAAGTCAATCTTTAAGTGAACAGTTACAGACCAACTATGGAGGTGGATTTGAAATTCAAAGCTGGTCTAATTTACCTCTTGGATCAGGTATTAAATTATATTATAGAATCTTAACTGACAACAACAAAAAAGCAGGGGAAGCATAACAGACTATGTAAATTTTATTTGGTATATCAACAGCCTTAATCTAAAAGATGTTTGGATCATCAAATATTTTGAAAACACATCATACTGTGAATTCATTATTATCCGTAGAATAACATATTCGTTAATTTCGTGGGTAAACCAAAAATTTAAATGTTCAACAAAGTACAAATTTTCTATAGACTTGTATGAAAACTATGACAAAACCACAAATTTAAATATAAGTTTTTCTGAAAATGGGTACCAACGAAAATAAGTGAACATTAGTATGTAGTTTGTATTAGTGTTGTATGACTAGATGTGTTTTTTTTGTTTTGTTGGGTCACTATCAGACTTATACATGTTATATATACCCCAAATCTCCTTATAACAAGGAATTAGTTGAATCTGGAATAATTTTAAATTCTGGAAAATTTATATGAAATATATGATTAAAACTTACCCAATTAAGGAGGGTAAATGCATGGCTATGGGGTGTTAGTTAGTTTATACTGAAATATCAGTGAAAGTAACTTGAACCTTAGCCATGCATGCATGACTAACCCTCCAAAGTTGGGTAAGTTTTCATTATACTTTTCTTATCAATTTTCGAGAATTCAAAAATTATTCCAGATTAAAATAATTCCTTGTTTTATATCAAACATCTACAAACAAAACTCGAGGGGAGTATATAAGAGCCTGTCTGTCTGTTTGTCTGTATGTGCAAACTAACTTTTGGTGCCTTTGTCCAATTTAAACCAAACTTTGTACAGTTGCAGATGTAATGTTTTAAATTTGAAATAGGATTTTTTTCTGTATCAATTATTCCAGAATTATGCCCACTGAATGCAAATTCCTCCTACATGTTTTCACAGGTGTTCATGAAACTTTGTACGTTGTAAGACCCTAGCATGAAGATTTCCATATTTAAGAATTGAATGCTTCTTTTCGTAAATTCTTTGGGGTGTAAAAGCGTTGACCGAAGTAAAAATGTATGCATGGTCAACGCTTTTACAACCCTATGAAATTACTAAAAGAAGCATTCAAAAATTATAATTATATTTTTTTGCTATGATCATGAAAACACGATTACTATCATTTTTTCTTTTATTTACCTTTGCACTTTATTGTGGAAACGTGTGTCATCATGTATGTTACAATTCATGAAATTCATTTTGAAATGAAGAATGACGCGAGATTGCTGTTAGCCAATCAAAATAACGTATAATAATGAAACATACATCCAATGTAATTATAAGAAGATTAACAGCCTGACTTCTGTACAAAACAAACAAAACATCAAATATGCTAGACAGTAACCCACAACAACCACTGAATTATAGGTTCCTGATTCAGAATGTGGCCTGATTAATAGAAAAACAAAAGATATGGGGTATTCATGCATGACACAAAATCAGTACATGCACAGCAAAAAAAACACATTTGTGAGAGCTCAACACTACCTCAACTTGTGACAGTTGTGTAACAGGACAGCATGATTAGATGTCAAACAGACAGCAACCCAAAGTAACAAATGACCAAAAGACATCTACAGATCAACATACAGTTGTCAACAACTGACAGTCATCCCTACATGCTCTCAAGCTCTAACTAATCTCAAATAAAAAAAAAAGTTGTGAATAAATTTTACAGCAACTATCAATATATGTTGTGAGTTCCAAGCAATTTGAAGAAACCTTTAGGTATTGATATATGATAGGCCTGTGTCTTGTGATGATCTGACTGATAGATTGTTTTTTATAGACTTTTTATCAGGTATAATGAATTTTTTAATATGATTGAAAAAAATGTGGCTTTAGTATACCTTGTACTCCCTAGGTATGGGTACCAGTAGTATATTATCTGCTGCCTTGATTGGAGTAATAATGAGGGCTGCTGGAAAGTCATGTGACAGAATGGGAATTATACATTTGGTATGATTTAAATATGCATAACTGTATCAGTGAATTGGCTTTGGTATTTCGTATTATCAACTTTTTGTAAAATGACCAGTAAAAGATAGATTTAAAGATTTAAAGAAAAATTGTAGAATTGAAATTTGAACATGTAATGCATTCTTCAGGCAAATTTGTATGTAAATTGTCCCTAGATTAACAAGAAAAAACAAGCCAAATTTTAATATCTTTCAAATTATTTTATAATTATGATGACACCAAGGTTTTGTTGTACCAACTCTACAAAAAGCTGGGATACCAGCTGCTTTGATTGGAGTATTATTGAGAACTGCTGAAAAGTCAAGTAACAGATTAGGAAATATACATTTTGTATGGATTAAATATGCATAACTTTATATTCATTCTTCTTTCCCTTCTCCCCTCAAGAAAAAATATAACTTTCTGTCATGATTGTGTAGCTATAATAAATAACTAGTGTACTTAATTGAGGAATGCTAAGTGTTAGTACTTTTGGTGTTGATGACATCTTTGGTAGTCTCTGATAAATTTATTTGGCCAACCTTAAAAGGATATTTGTTTCCCAAAAACCATCATTTCTGCTTGATTATTTAATTCAGAAGAACATTTGGATGAAACAGAAAACTATAGACACCACACCTACTGCAACAAACTTCTTTTCATTTGCATGGAAGAATTGGAAATCAAAACAGACGCATGAAATACATTTAGAACTTTGTTGTCCTTGGAAATTGTAAAAAAAAAAGTAGCAACTTCATTTGTTTCACATATTATATTCATGAACTTTTGGAATTGTCTAAAACAATATTTTCATGTTTTATATAGCATTGGGAGTAAAAGCAATAAAGTCAAAAAACAACTACAACAACTACAATAAAGTAAAAAAACAGTGTTTTTTCAATGGTGGTTTCAGAAAAAGTTGATGCCCTGAATTACCACAAAAAATGTCTAGTCACCGTTTTTTAATTGTAAGCAGTTTACTGGAAACAAACATCTTGTAAATTTTGGTCTTGATATCTGTATTTTGTGTTTTTGGATTGTTGTCTCATTGGGGTATACCCACATGTTTTTAGAGTCTTGATTTGAAAAAAAAAAAAAAACCACTTCAGCTCTTTTATTTATGTTTACCAGGAATTATATGTCGAGCAGATGATGACAACTGGTGGAGGATGGCAGGATCAAGTTGGAGGGATCTGTGGAGGAATACACCTTGGTTTGTCAGAAGGGAAACTACCTGTGTCAATACAAGCAGTAAACCTGAAAGTTTCTGAAGAGACTGTGAAAGCATTTAATGAGAGAATAGTATTGATTTATACAGGGAAGACCAGACTGGCAAGAAATCTATTACAGGTACATAACTTCTACAATCAACGGATTCCCAGTTTTTTTGCTGCTTTTTATACGCCCGTCAAATATTTTTGACGGGACGTATTATGTTATACAAATGTCTGGCGTCCGTCCGTCTGTCCGTCTGTCCATCTGTCTGTCCGTCTGTCTGTCCGGCGTAAACATGTCGCACCGTAACTTGAGAATGACTTATCCAAATTTCATGAAACTTAACATAGTTGTTTCTTATGATGGTCAAACGATCTGTATACTTTTTGGTGAAAATAAGATTAAAACTTTTTGAGTTACGGGACTTAGTAACTAAAACAGGTGTGTGTTTTTTTTCACATGTCGCGCCGTATCTCAAAAACAATTTATGATTATTGCTTAAAACTTTACACACTTCTTAGTTATATTAATCTTAAGATCTGTATACTTTTTGGTGATGATTCAAAATTTATTTTAGAAATATTGAGTATTTTGTTATAAAAGGGGGAGGGGTTTTTCACATGTCGCGTCGTATCTCAAAAACAGTTTATGATTATTGCTTAAAACTTTACACACTTCTTAGTTATATTAACCTTAAGATCTGTATACTTTTTGGTGATGATTCAAAATTTTATTTTTGAGTTATTGAGTATTTTGAAAAAAAAGGGGGAGGGGTTTTTCACATGTCGCGCCGTATCTCAAAAACAATTTATGATTATTGCTTAAAATTTTACACACTTCTTAGTTATATTAATCTAAAGATCTGTATACTTTTTGGTTTTGATTCAAAATTTTATTTTTGAGATATTGATTTTTTTTTTTAAAAGGGGGGTTTTCACATGTCGCGTCGTATCTCAAAAACGATTTATGATTATTGCTTAAAATTTTACACACTTCTTAGTTATACTAATCTAAAGATCTGTATACTTTTTGGTTATGATTCAAAATTTTATTTTAGAGATATTGAGTTTTTTGTAAAAAAAAAAGGGGGTTTTCGCGTGTCACGCCGTATGTCAGAAACTATTTATGCTTATTGCATAAAAATTCACACACAAGACGACGGGCGTATCATGCGCTCATGGCGCAGCTGTTTATTTTTCTTTTTGGGGGATAAATTGTTTAACTGCTATCTGTTCAAACTTTTCTATTTTTTAATATTAACTTGACCACACCTATGATGAAAATTCATTGTTTTTAGTAAAAACAAATAAAAGTAAATTACTGAACACGCATTGAAAAACTTAAAAGTTGCTGAGTCAACAATGCAAATAAATTGAAGATTTGGTTTAATATTCTTATCTTATGGATGTTTAGTAGAATAATGTATTTAATAATGTGGTATGTTGTTACCCTCTTTTTCTAGCAGCTTATTTTTGAAACTTTCAATTTTTGTAAAATTTTGATATTTTTCTGTAAACTTGTAATTACGAAAAGATTTTAAGGGCATACGATACAATTTGGATCCCACAGTGATATTTTATGATAATTGGCATACAAATTATTTTTCAACTCATCAATGCAAATATGTAAAGAAAATATACCTTCATGTGCTACTTTTAGAGATAAATGGAGTAGAAATTTTAGACATTCACTCAAAATTTAGTTTTTTGGGAAATTTCTATACCGGACAGACATATCAAACTTTTTTGTATCAAAAGACAAACATAAGCGGATTTTTGTGAGCACCTTTGGAACATCTTTTTTACACAAGTATGCTCTATATTTGTGTAACAATTCTTTTGAAATGATTCAGTTTTATTATATTTTCAAGATTTTAGAATACAGGCATTTTTTGCTGTATGTTTATTTAATTAAAAAATTATCGTTGGTGATTTGTTCATAAAAATTGGTACAAATAATCTCCAAACTGATCAAGCCCAATGTCATTTTAAAAAAGAGGGGTTCATTTACTCGTTTTCAAGCTAATGATTAAAATCAGTTGAAAAATGCTTTTTTTTCCAATATGTCTCAGTTTGGCGTCACGAAAAATGTTCATTGAAAAATAACATTTTTATATGCCTGTCAAAATTTTGACGGGATGTATTATGGTATAAAAATGTCGTCTGTCCGACTATCCGTCTGTCCGTCTGTCTGTCCGGCGTAAACATGTCACACCGTAACTTGAGAACGACTTATCCAAATTTCATGAAACTTAGTTGTTTCTTATGATGATCAAACGATCTGTATACTTTTTGGTGAAAATTAGATTAAAACTTTTTGAGTTACGGGACTTAGTAACTAAAACAGGTGTGTGTTTTTTTTCACATGTCACGCCGTATCTCAAAAACAATTTATGATTATTGCTTAAAACTTTACATACTTCTTAGTTATATTAATCTTAAGATCTGTATACTTTTTTGTGATGATTCAAAATTTTGTTTTAGATATATTGAGTATTTTGTTAAAAAAGGGGGAGGGGTTTTTCACATGTTGTGCCGTATCTCAAAAACAGTTTATGATTATTGCTTAAAACTTTACACACTTCTTGGTTATATTAATCTTAAGATCTGTATACTTTTTGGTGATGATTCAAAATTTTATTTTTGAGTTATTGAGTATTTTGTAAAAAAAGGGGGAGGGGTTTTTCACATGTCGCGCCGTATCTCAAAAACAATTTATGATTATTGCTTAAAATTTTACTTCTTAGTTATGTTAATCTAAAGATCTGTATACTTTTTGGTTTTGATTCAAAATTTTATTTTTGAGATATTGATTTTTTTTTTTTAAAAGGGGGTTTTCACATGTAGCGCCGTATCTCAAAAAGAATTTATGATTATTGCCTAAAATTTTACACACTTCTTAGTTATATTAATCTAAAGATCTTATACTTTTTGGTTTTGATTCAAAATTTTATTTTAGAGATATTGAGTTTTTTGTAAAAAAAAGGGGTTTTCGCATGTCAGTAACTATTTATGATTATTGCATAAAAATTCACACACAAGACGACGGGCGTATCATGTGCTCATGGCCCAGCTGTTTATTCGTTAGTGACGTCATTTCTTCTCCTGTAAATATATTATATGCCCTTAATTTGGCCAAATTATATTAATTTTAAGTGTATTATTTTACACTTTATATTTTCTGGCCTTTAAAGATTTAAGTAAGGGTTTTTTGAGTGACTTCAAATAATCAAAAATATCTCAACAAATGAAGGAAGAGTTCAGTTTGCAAATAAAGACAAAGTTCACCTTGTAATAAATATCTTTTTGTGTTTGGTACAAAATTCTTAAGTCAGCAAATGAGCATTTATAGTGTATTTTCTCAAATGAAAAATGGAAAATTTCAAATATCTTGTTTATAAAGAATAATGACCACTTCACATTCCACAGGAAAACATAATACACAAAAAAGATATTAGGAATCACCAAACATGTCACCCTACCCCCAACCGCATTTTTCTTACTCTGAGCTGACCAATCTGGTTTTTGTTCATCTGACCATGACCTCATTTTCATGGTTCATTAGTCAATGTTAGGTTTTTGGGATAAGGTCCATTTTTAGCTCACCTGGCACGAAGGGCCAAGTGAGCTTTTCTCATCACTTGGTGTCCGTCGGCGTCGTCAGAAGCTTTTTACAAAAATCTTTTCCTCTGAAACCACTGGGCCAAATTTAACCAAACTTGGCCACAATCATCATTAGGGTATCTAGTTTAAAAAATATGTCTGATGACCCCGCCAACCAACCAAGATGGCCGCCATGGCTAAAAATAGAACATGGGGGTAAAATGTAGATTTATGCTTATATCTCTGAAACCAAAGCATTTAGAGTAAATCTGACATGGGTAAAACTGATTATCAGGTCAAGATCTATCTGCCCTGAAATTTTCAGACAAATCTGACAACCTGTTGTTGGGTTGCTGCCCTTAACTGGTAATTTTAAGGAAATTTTGCAGTTTTTATACGACCGCAAAAATTTTTGCGGTCGTATATTGGTATGACGTTGGCGTCGTCGTCCGGCGTCGTCCAAAGACACATTGGTTTTCGCACTCTAACTTTAGTTTAAGTGAATGGATCTCTATGAAATTTTACCACAAGGTTCAATACCACAAAAGGAAGGTTGGGATTGATTTTGGGGGTTATGGTACCAACAGTTTAGGAATTAGGGGCCAAAAAGGGGCCAAAAATAAGCATTTTTGTAACTTCCAGACATAACTTGTGTGTTAGTGTATGGATCTCTCTGACATTGTACCACAAGGTTCCATATCACAAAGGGATTGCTGGGATTGATTTTGGGGGTAATTGTTTCAAAATATTAGGAATTAGGGGCCAAAATAGGGGCAAAAAACAAGCATTTTTCTAGTTTCATGACAATAACTTGTGTGTTAGTGTATGGATCTTTCTGAAATTGTACTACAAGGTTTCATATCACAAAGGGAAAGCTGGAATTGAGTTTGGGGGTAATTGCCCGAAACGTTTAGGAATAAGGGGCCAAAAATAAGCATTTTTCTAGTTTCCAGACAATAACTTGTGTTCAAGTGTATGGATCTCTCTGAAATTGTACCACAAGGTTCCATATCACAAAGGGAATGCAGCGATTGATTTTGGGGGTAATTGCCTCAAAATTTTAGGAATTAGGGGCCAAAAAAGGGGCAAAAAACAAGCATTTTTCTAGTTTCATGACAATAACTTGTGTGTAAGTGTTTGGATATTTCTGAAATTGTACTACAAGGTTCCATATCACAAAGGGAAAGCTGGAATTGAGTTTGGGGGTAATTGCCCGAAACGTTTAGGAATTTGGGGCCAAAAAACACATTTTCTAGTTTCCAGACAATAACTTGTGTTCAAGTGTATGGATCTCTCTGAAATTGTACTGCAAGGTACCATACCACAAAGGGAAGGCTGGGATTGAGTTTGGGGGTGATGAATCATAAGGGGGTTCAAAAAATTTGGGGGGGGGGATTTTTTTTTTTTTTTCCTTTTTTTTCTTTTTTTCCTTTTTTTTTTTTTTTAATTTTCTATTTTAAGTTGGTTATTTCTGATTTATATTTAAAAGCAAATAATAATGATATGGTAGGAGATACACACTAAACAGGATGTGTAAATTATTATATAATAAGTATTGTGCAATAGCAAGAAATTTTCAATTGCACAGTATTGCACAATAGCAAGAAATCTTCAATTGCACAGTATTGCGCAATAGCAAGAAATCTTCAATTGCACAGTATTGCGCAATAGCAAGAAATATCCAATAGCACAATATTGCGCAATTGCAAGAAATTGTCAATTGTGCAGTATTGCGCAATAGCAAGAAATATTCAATTGCACAGTATTTTGCAAAAGAAGATACTTCGTATAAATTGCTTATTTCTTGACCAATTTCAATGGGGTTTTATTCTTGAATTCTTGGGGTTCTTTAATATGCTGAATCTAACCGTGTATTAAGTTTTTGGATTTTGGGCCCCGTTTTTAAATTGGTCCACATTGAGGTCCAAAGGGTCCAAAATTAAACTTTGTTTGATTTCATCAAAAATTGAATTATTGGGGTTCTTTGATATGCCGAATCTAACCGTGAATTTAGATTCTTAATTTTTGGTTCCGTTTTCAAATTGGTCTACATTAAGGTCCAAAGGGTCCAAAATTAAACTAAGTTTGATTTTAACAAAAATTGAATTCTTAGGGTTCTTTGATATGCTGAATCTAAACATGTATTTAGATTTTTGATTATGGACCCAATTTTCAAGTTGGTCGAAATTGGGGTCCAAAATTAAACTTTGTTTGATTTCAACAAAAATTGAATATATGGGGTTCTTTGATATGCTGAATCTAACCATGTATTTAGATTTTTGATTTTTGGGCCCCGTTATCAACTTTGTTCACATTGAGGTCAAAAGGGTCCAAAATTAAACTTTGTTTGATTTCATCAAAAATTGAATTCTTGGGGTTCTTTGATATGCTGAATCTAACCATGTATTTAGATTTTGGATATTGGACCATAATAGGTGAATGTCCAATTTAAAATTTTTAAGTTCTTAGACCACATTCATTCTGTGTCAGAAACCTATGCTGTGTCAAATATTTAATCACAATCCAAATTCAGAGCTGTATCAAGCTTGAATGATGTGTCCATACTTGCCCCAACTGTTCAGGGTTCGACCTCTGCGGTCGTATCAAGCTGCGCCCTGCGGAGCATTTTATTGGTTATTATCTTGAATATCATTATAGATAGAGATAAACTGTAAACAGCACTAATGTTCAGCAAAGTAAGATCTACAAATAAGCTGTGATGACCAAAATTGTCAGTCAACCCCTTTAGGAGTTATTGCCCTTAATAGTCAATTTTTAACAGTTTTTCGTAAATTTTTGTTATCTTTCACAAAAATCTTCTTCTCTGAAACTACTGAGACAAATTTAACCATACTTGGCCATAATCATTATTAGGGTATCTAGTTTAAAAAATTTGTCTGATGATAAACCATCATGGCCGACTTGGTTAAAAATAGAACATAGGGGTAAAATGCAGTTTTTGGTTTATATCTCTGAAACTAAAGCATTTAGAGCAAATCTGACAGGTGGCAAAAATGTTCATCACATTTAGATTTATCTGCCCTGAAATTTTCAGACGAATCCGACAACCCGTTGTTGGGTTGCTGCCCCTGAGTTAGTAATTTTACAAAAATTTTGCAGTTTTTTGTTATTATCTTAGATATCATTATAATATCTAATATTTAATACTATTAATTATGATTTTAACCTTATTTTACATGATTTCCAAAGCATCAGTAAATACAGGTGAGCGACACAGGCTCTTGAGAGCCTCTAGTTCCAATACTACTGTCAGTGGATTTATTATTATTCTTGGGATACCAATTTTTCGTTAATTTTATGGGTATGGGTAAACCATGAATGGTAAGGTAAAAAATAATCATTCAGATATCCTATACTTTCACAGCTAGTGTAAAGAGGTAAAACTGTCACTGGTTGTTTGTTAAACTGTTTCATATAGTATATATTTTATTTGTAGGATGTTGTTAGAAATTGGTATGCTCGTAATCCACTGATAGTTGAAACAGAAGACAACTTGGTGGCTCTAGCTCAGGAATGTTCCCATGCATTTATAGATGGTGGGTAAATTGATTGAAAGTGTAATTGTTTAGTTTAGTGATTATTATTGTAGAAAGTCAACACTTAGGTTTAGTCTGTGGTTAAAGTTTTAAAGACAGCAATAACTTGTAAACTCCTAATGGAATTTTATGAATCTTGGACAAAAGCTTTTTCATGATCAAAACACAGTATCAAGAGCAAAATTGTGAAACTATTGCTTTTCATTTTACCTTATTTTACTGATAAATAGACTTTAATATTTTGTTTTTTTGTAAACAATTATATACAGTCTAATGTTTTAAGACATCAATAATTTTGCCAATCCATGATGTAATATTACAGAGCTTGGATAGATGTTTCTTCACAATTAAAAGATAGTATCTTAAATAAAAAGATAATTACACATTTAAACATACATGGTAAGAAAATATAATTTAAAAATATTAAACTAAACAAACAATGAGAGTCACTTTCTTTCAGGCTTCATAATTGTATATTTTATTGTTGACACACAGGTAGAATATGTATCACCAATTATATGTGGAAGATACTTTCATATTACCTATGACATAAAATAAATTTTATTCTATCCAGGTGATTTGAAAAAAGTAGGGTCCTGTCTGGATCGTTATTGGCGGATGAAGAAAATAATGGCACCAGGTTGTGAAACACAGATAATTTCCACATTAATGGAAGCTGTTAGACCATTTGCCTTGGGTATATGTATGGCAGGGGCAGGTGGAGGTGGATTTATGTACGTCTTAGCACAGGATCCTCTGAAGAGAGATGTCATCAAACAACTCATACCAACAGTAAAGGTAAGTCAACTATATAGGATACAGTCAGATTGAGGAGCTTCAATAGTTTATAGCAAAAACTTAACTATGAAAACATATAAAGATGAATTAAGATCAATGAATTCCTCATTGGTCTCATAGTATATTGCTTGTCTCAAACAACAGAGGTCATGGGTTTTTTCCCAGGCTGGTTTAATCCAAAGACTTAAACATTGTTATTTGATGCATCTCCACCAAGCACATAGCATTTAGGAGTAAAGGGAAAACACTGGTTGGCTCTGAGTTAGAATTATTATCAGAGTAAGATGCTTTCCCATGGATTTTAACCTTTTGAGCTACTACATAAAAAAATATCACTCAAATATGTTTTGAAAGGTTTGTATCTTTATTTAGGAATTTTTACCTCACAGCCAATTGTTCTTTAAATAATGATGAAATTAAACTCACCATAGATACAAGGATTAAAATTTTGTATGGCAGACAAGGATCAGTGACGCTCGAAACAAAAAAGTTAAAAAGGCCAATTAAAGTACAATGTTGAAGAGCATTGAGGACCAAAATTCTAAGGCAATCTACACGCAAACTAAATAACACTAATTTTTTAAATACATATTTAGATATATACAAATAATCAATTACTGTGCATAGACAATAGCATCAGTGGCTTACATTTTATTTTTTTCTCTGAAATTTTCTAAATTTTTCAGATCTAATTTAACATTACATTTTCAGATTTCTGGACAAGAAATGGTTTGTAAATTCAAACATTATGTTGCTAGAATTGCTAGAAAAAAATATTGATTGCTTCTTGGTTAAATGCATCCCTCCTGTGCATTCAAAGATTCAACATAACTTTTAAAATTCTTTTGTTATCTTTATAAGAACTCAAACAAATCTAGTTCAAGTTCAATCTTGTTTAAAGGTCATAATTGCATGTTATCTAAAACTTAACTCTGAAGCTACTCTCTCCATCATTATCAATATTTTAAATGACATCTTCATGTAAAAAAAATCTACAAAGGGTATTGCGGTATATAAGTATAGTTTATCAGGTTTTCAGCACATTGATATGGTGAAATATTAGCCGTGAGCCACAATGTGAACCTTTTTGGCGAGTGAGTGCAGTGAATGAGCTAAAAAGCTTCACATTTTGTCGAGCAGCTGATATTTTAATATATCTATATGCATTAAACTCGATACTCTGTGTATCGTGCTTTTTCTGGTCTTATCTCACAACCTTAGACAGTTTTACTGACGAAAGTACCTAAGCTTGATAATGTCTCCTCACACATTGTGACGTCACTGATAACTTCTCCTCATACATTGTGACGTCGTTGATATGTTCTGCTCATGTCTCAAAGCTGTGATACAAAGACAAAATGAGGTATTATTTGACAAGTAAATTTCCAAAAATATTAAGATAAGTCAATTCAAAAATTGCTTTTTGGCATACAGTGTTAGTTAGAATCAATTTAAAACAACAGCCTTATCCAAAATGATGATTATTGCACATCAGCATTTTTGCATCTTAAGATATTTTGGGCGAAATATCTTTTTTGTTATCCATTGCTCACATCGTAAGTTGCTTTGGTTTAATCTATTATATGTATATAAATTAGAAATAAAGTAAGGAAAGTTAAGTTCTAATTTCAATACCACTTTAAAGGCCTGATGCATTTGTTTCCACAATCTTATGCAGCTTCTTTCACATCCATTCATTTATTAAAACTTGAGTTCAATTGCTTAGAGATAAAACAATAGAAAAAAGTGCTGTATACCTGTACATAACTATTCTTTAATGTCAAGTTAAAGTTATTTTATAATGTTGCAGATTTTATGTAATTTGGCATTCAACTTCACTATGTTAAAAGTTCAGCTGAAAATAATGTGTTAAGCTCTTTATTTTGTGAAATATTATTACTATTAAATGAATATTTTTTTTATATATGAAGCTGTACATTTGTATTAAATGCACCATAAGTCAGTGAAATCATTAAAATGGATATTTATCAGACACAACATATAGTTTTTACAAAATTATTTCTGGCTTTTAAGGAAGAGTGAGACTTAAAGGATACAGTTTAAAATGGTTTTAAATAAATTTAATGTGCACTTCATTTTTATACGACCGCAAAAAAATTTTGCGGTCGTATATTGGTATGACGTTGGCGTCGTCGTCGTCGTCGTCGTCGTCGTCTGGCGTCGTCCGAAGACACATTGGTTTTCGCACTCTAACTTTAGTTTAAGTGAATGGATCTCTATCATATTTTACCATAAGGTTCAATACCACAAAAGGAAGGTTGGGATTGATTTTGGGGGTTATGGTACCAACAGTTAAGGAATTAGGGGCCAAAAAGGGGCCAAAAATAAGCATTTTTGTAACTTCCAGACATAACTTGTGTGTTAGTGTATGGATCTCTCTGACATTGTACCACAAGGTTCCATATCACACAGGGAATGCTGGGATTGATTTTGGGGGTTATTGCCTCAAAATATTGGGAATTAGGGGCCAAAAAAGGGGCAAAAAACAAGCATTTTTCTAGTTTCATGACAATAACTTGTGTGTAAGTGTATGGATCTTTCTGAAATTGTACTACAAGGTTCCATATCACAAAGGGAAAGCTGGAATTGAGTTTGGGGGTAATTGCCCAAAACGTTTAGGAATTTGGGGCCAAAAAGGGGCCAAAAATAAGCATTTTTTTCTAGTTTCCAGACAATAACCTGTGTTCAAGTGTATGGATCTCTCTGAAATTGTACCACAAGGTTCCATATCACACAGGGAATGCTGGGATTGATTTTGGGGGTAATTGCCTCAAAATATTAGGAATAAGGGGCCAAAAAAGGGGCAAAAAACAAGCATTTTTCTAGTTTCATGATAATAACTTGTGTGTAAGTGTATGGATCTTTCTGAAATTGTACTGCAAGGTTCCATATCACAAAGGGAAAGCTGGAATTGAGTTTGGGGGGAAATTGCCCAAAACGTTTAGGAATAAGGGGCCAAAAAGGGGCCAAAAATAAGCATTTTTCTAGTTTCCAGAAAATAACTTGTGTTCAAGTGTATGGATCTCTCTGAAATTGTACTGCAAGGTACCATACCACAAAGGGAAGGCTGGGATTGAGTTTGGGGGTGATGAATCATAAGGGGGTTCAAAAAATTTGGGGGGGGGGGGATTTTTTTTTTTTTCTTTTAAAATTTTCCATTTTAAGTTGGTTATTTCTGTTTTATATTTAAAAACAAATAATAATGATATGGTAGGAGATACACACCAAACAGGATGTGTAAATTATTATATAATAAGTATTGTGCAATAGCAAGAAATTTTCAATTGCACAGTATTGCACAATAGCAAGAAATCTTCAATTGCACAGTATTGCGCAATAGCAAGAAATCTTCAATTGCACAGTATTGTGCAATAGCAAGAAATATCCAATAGCACAATATTGCGCAATAGCAAGAAATTGTCAATTGTACAGTATTGCGCAATAGCAAGAAATAGTCAATTGCACAGTATTGTGCAAAAGAAGATACTTCGTATAAATTGCTTATTTCTTGACCAATTTCAATGGGGTTTTATTCTTGAATTCTTGGGGTTCTTTATATGCTGATTCTAACCGTGTATTAAGTTTTTGGATTTTGGGCCCCGTTTTTAAATTGGTCCACATTGAGGTCCAAAATTGAATTCTTAGGGTTCTTTGATATGCTGAATCTAAACATGTATTTAGATTTTGGATATTGGACCATAATAGGTGAATGTCCAATTTAAAATTTTTAAGTTCTTAGACCACATTCATTCTGTGTCAGAAACCTATGCTGTGTCAAATATTTAATCACAATCCAAATTCAGAGCTGTATCAAGCTTGAATGTTGTGTCCATACTTGCCCCAACTGTTCAGGGTTCGACCTCTGCGGTCGTATCAAGCTGCGAAATTTTGAATCAGTCATATTTATAATTTTCATTTTGGGTCAAACATGTAAAAAATTATGTGATATATAGCCATTTACTGTTCCTTGACGATTAGGAGTTTTCTTCGTTGTATGGGATACACCTTCTAGTAGGGTGTCAGGTTAAATAACCAAACTCTCAGGGGTTTGAAACAGAGGGAAAGGGATTTGTGATAGACAGACTGACATGCTGACTACTTTAAATCAATTGGCTAGACCCTAATGAAAATATAGAAGCAAATGAATAAACACAGATATTGATGAATGGATCTGTTTTATTTTATACTAATTTTTCTTCCTTTTATTTTTTGTCACACCACATCACAGACACCAGTCTTTTTACAGCTTCTTTAGACTTTTGTCTTTGTCCTTATCAGTTTTTTAGTTAAATCATAAAGTTTTTTTGTTGGGATACTGATCACAAATGTTTTTGAAGGTCCAATGTAATTTGAAGTAATTGACAAATTCCTTGTCATATCATTCACTCAAATACATGAAGATAAGATATAATGAATTTTATTGAAATAAATAAATCAGATGAACACATTTTTTGGTCATCTTTCATTACAGGGAATCATCTGCCAAAATCCTTATCTCTCATTACAGTGAATCTTCTGCCAAAATCCTCATCTCTCATTACAGGGAATCTTCTGCCAAAATCCTCCTCTCTCATTACAGGGAATCTTCTGCCAAAATCCTCATCTCTCATTACAGGGAATCTTCTGTTAAAAACCTTTGCCTTTGCTTTTGCTATTTATTATTGAACTGGTGATTTGGACTTGGTAAATTACACTCTTACATTTGATTTTTAATCTTTAAGTTGGGGAGAATTTTTGGAGTGTCCTTGACATCATATCACTGTTGAAATATGCATTCAGACTCATATCTGCAAGAGAGAACATTTTGTCTTCCCTCGCAAAGCAGGGACATAGAATACAAGGCATCTTTGTGTCAGTTTGTCTGTTTGTCTGTCAGGTTTTAAAAGCACTCTCGGAATATGAATTAATATATATCAAAGATTTAAATCCATAATAATTATTCATTGTTATCAAAATAAGAGGTGATCAAATGTTTTTTACAGGACTTAGGCTCCTTGGAAATGTAAATTATATGGATAGTTGCATTGTTAGTGCTCTTATGCCTACATTTTTTGTCCTATTTTTATTTAGAAATTAACACAGTTAAGGTTTACCTGGAATTTCTTGTGAAAATAATGCCAAACAACTTTTTCATGAGATTTAAGACTCTAGGAAATGTAAATTATATGGAAAATTGCATTTTAAATGCTCTCACCCTAGATTTCTAGTCTGATTTTTATAAAACTCATATCAAGGTTTGTATCAGCAATGTCTCAGACAAGTTCAAAATCAGTGCTTATTGATTTTGTTTTTTTAGTTATGTCCCTTTAAAAATGGAAATTTTATTGAAAATTCCTTTGTAAACATTATTATGCCAAATTTCTTGTGGGAGTTTATGAAAATGATATTAAAGGGTTAATAAATTTGTCTGAAAAGTTTGATAATCAGTGCCCTCAACATTTTGTATCAGAGTTATATCTCTTGGAAATATAAATTATGTGGAAAAATGCATTGTAAGCAGTCTCATGGTAGTCCAAAATTAAAGCCCTTCGTCTGGGTCAAGATACTACTCAATTGATTTTTAAACTTGTTCTCCTCCTGGATAGGCATGAATGATCAATCTATATTAACCAATGTAATTACAAGGCACTTTACCATATATTTTTATCCGGAGTATATAACCATTATAAGCTATGTTAACTTCCAAAAGATGTTTCTAATATTGCTTTGGAAAGCTTTCTTGAATTGCTATATATGTGATGAAGTTTAAATATTTGATAATTGTTTTTCTTTCAGGGAGCTGAAGCAGAAGTTTATGAAGCTTGTGTGGACATGGAAGGTTTAAAGATCACAATAGAAGAATAGGCAAAGAAATAGACTTATACAAGGATTTATATGGGCTTCAATTGTCTTAAAGTGCAATTATTTTTACTGGATTTTTTTTTAATAATAAAGTGAGGGGTATATTTTTTTTCATTTTAGATTATTGTCTCCATGTCTCAGGTAGAGACATAGTGATGTAAAGACTTATACAAATATTTATGTGGGCTTCAGTTGTCTTAAAGTGCAATTACTAACACTGGATTTTTTATTAATAATAAAGTGAAGGGAAATATTTTCACATTTTTAATTAGTGTCTCCTTGTTTCATGTAGATACATAATGATGTAAAAATAGATTGATTTTTGTTTGCTTAACTTCAAATAGCAAATATTTCATCATGTAAATCTATTTTCACTCAAATATTTATGTACATGTATCTGTATGAATTATAATGAACCTTTGTGAAGTTCCTTATCACTCAGCTCTGCATATTCTTTTATCAATATGAACAAATTATCTTGCTAGTAGTATGTCCCCATATAACTAAACAAAATAGGATTAATTGTTATGGCAGGTTCTGTGTTTCTTTTATTAGTATTTTTCTTAATAAGAGACAGATTTCATATAAGTGCTTTGAATAAGAATGAAAAGAAATTAGTGCTACCCATTGATTTCATATTTCACTTTGCATATATATTGTCTTTGCAAGATCATGCTAAGCAGACACCACTCATAGTTCTAAGTATCTTTTCTGGATTTACCTTCATCAGGAATGCTCAAAGCGTTAGAAGAACCCAATTGCAAGAAAAGTGAGATGAAAATATTTGTTGGACAAACAATATAGCCCCCAGGTATAATAATTTATCATAACAGGTGTGCATAAATCTCTAATTTAAGACAAACGCCAAAGATGCACTAGAAAGAATTTTCCATGGCAAGCAAGCATGGAGACCAGATTTCCCCCCCAAAAAAATATTTGAGCAAAGGTCAATCACAGTGGTATGTGACACATGCAATGCATCAAAAGCCTATGTTTTAGCATAAAAAAGTCATGACCACAACAAAAAAATGTCCTATTATTTGACTTTGAAGTTAAAGTGAGGGTCACATTAAGGTCATGAGATGCCACACAGTTATATGCTTTTACACCTTCATACCAAATATCATAAATCTTTGTCTAAAGATAACATAGCTATGGCCAAAACAAGGTGAAGAAATACTACTTAAACAATTTTAATTACTGTCTTAATTCTTTTAAATTGTCCTTTAAAGCTGGTTCCCCAAAAAGAAGACTGATTTCAATGACATATATATTTTTAAAAAGCTTATTGATTGTTGATGCTTTGATTCAGTTGCAAATATTTCAATATGAACTGAGTAAGACTGTTTTAGTATACTAAAACTAATGTTTCCTCATTTTTTAAATTTTGCGGTCGTATATTGGTATGACGTTGGCGTCGTCGTCGGTGTCATCATCGTCGTACGAAGACACATTGGTTTTTGCACTCTAACTTTAGTTTAAGTGAATGGATCTCTATGAAATTTTACCAGAAGGTTCAATACCACAAAAGGAAGGTTAGGATTGATTTTGGGGGTTATGGTACCAACAGTTAAGGAATAAGGGCCAAAAAGGGGCCAAAAATAAGCATTTTTGTAACTTCCAGACATAACTTGTGTGTTAGTGTATGGATCTCTCTGACATTGTACCACAAGGTTCCATATCACAAAGGGAATGCAGCGATTGATTTTGGGGGTAATTGCCTCAAAATTTTAGGAATTAGGGGCCAAAAAAGGGGCAAAAAACAAGCATTTTTCTAGTTTCATGACAATAACTTGTGTGTAAGTGTATGGATCTTTTTGAAATTGTACTACAAGGTTCCATATCACAAAGGGAAAGCTTGATTTGAGTTTGGGGGTAATTGCCCAAAACGTTTAGGAATAAGGGGCCAAAAATAAGCATTTTTCTAGTTTCCAGACAATAACTTGTGTTCAAGTGTATGGATCTCTCTGAAATTGTACTGCAAGGTACCATACCACAAAGGGAAGGCTGGGATTGAGTTTGGGGGTGATGAATCATAAGGGGGTTCAAAAAATTTGGGGGAGGGATTTTTTTTTTCTTTTTTTCCTTTTTTTTTCTTTAAAATTTTCCATTTTAAATTGGTTATTTCTGATTTATATGTAAAAGCAAATAATAATGATATGGTTTTGAATAGGTAAATTAAAATTTTTTAAGTTCTTAAACCACATTCATTCTGTGTCAGAAACCTATGCTGTGTCAAACATTTAATCACAATCAAAATTCAGTGCTGTATCAAGCTTGAATGTTGTGTCCATACTTGCCTCAACTGTTCAGGGTTCGACCTCTGCGGTCGTATCAAGCTGCGCCCAGCGGAGCATTTTATTAATGTCTGAAAAATTAATTATTCTGAACTTAATGTAAAAGGTCAAGGTCATAATGACCTTGTGCATGGGCAAATTATTATTTGCATAGCTATATCAAAAAGAATATATATGGTATTGAGTTGGACATACAAAAATTAATTATTTGACCTTGAAGGTCAAGGTCATCATAGGTAATCTTTTATGATACACAACACATGATGCGGTGCTGCACCCATGTGCCAGATATCACCAGCAAATGCCAAAGGAGGAAAAAGTTGTTATGGACATGAAAATGTTCAAAAATATTAGGTATTCTGACCATGAGGTCAAGGTCCTCATGACCTTTTGCATGGGAGAAATCCTTAGTTGCAGTGACAAGTAGGAATTCATAAAGTATTGGGGTGTACTTACATTAAATAAATTACTTGACCTTTAAGGCCAAAGTCATCTTCCATGGTATGTGACACGTTGTTCTGAGGTACTGCATCCATATGCTTATGTCATACGAGACAAAAGGTATAAATGTAAAATAAAATCAAGTATTTTGACCGTTAGGTCGATGGTCACGGTCACATAGAGGTCATGAGGAAATGCATCACAGAGTCTTATGGTTATACACCATCATGCCAAATATAAGCTAGTGTCAAAGAAAACAAGTTATAACCTGAACATGGTTGCTTGAGAAGCAGAAGAAAAACAGTACTTAAACATAATGTCTCCCATTGTCAAAGGGGGAGATGATCAGAGATGTGGGGTATACGTCGATGAGAAAGCAACCTTGTGACAAAAATAGCCAAACTGACTCAGGACAGTCACATGAATATGTGGTAGGGTTAAACTATTTTTTTTCAGATATCAATTCCCCCTTTTTTAATCTCAACATTCATAAAAAAACATACAATAATAAACTGTTGACACAGAGATATGTCTGGCTTTTTGTAATACTGACAGTAAGATGCAAATGTTGAAATTAAAATGGCAATATTTAAACATGTTAACTATGCAAAACATTCAAAGTCAATGAACTGAGACTGAACGTGCAGGGTCAAATAACCGCCATGAAAATGAGAAATGCCAATGCTTATAAAACTGCATACCAAATACCATTGAATGTTCATAAGTGTTTCTCTTCTAACTAGCCTTAATAACCATAATCTTTAACTTGTAAAATATGCAAGTTTTAAACTAAATGAGCCATGATGATAGGCAGGGCCATATAATCTCCATGGAAATGAAACTTGCAAATGTGTATACAACTTCATACAAACTATCATTGACTTAAAATTTGTGGTTTATCTTAAACTGATCTAGTCACAAACTTTAACATGTAAACTATGCAAATATTCAAAGTCAATAGACCATGACTGAGCTAAATAATCTCCATGGAAATCAGATGTGCAAATGCAAATACATCTGCATACCTAATATCGTTGACCTACCACTAATGGTTCCCCTTAAAGGCATAATCAGGAACTATTACATGTAAACTAAGCAAATCATTCAAAGTCAAAAGAACATGACTGAGGGGGCGAGGCCAAATAATATGCCTGGTAATACCAAATATCATGGACCTACCACGAGTGGTTCCCCATAAGCACCTAATCACAAACTAATATATTGTTGATGCCGCTACTGCCGCACCACACTAACTCTCACTTTTTCGAAGCAAGACAAACATCTGCAATAAGAGGGCACACATAATTTCCATTGGAATTCCAACCACTTGTCAGTATACTTCTCTAAAACAACCATGAATTTTATGAAGCAAAAGTTTAATGGCTTTAATCAGTTCTTTGCATGTCCAATTTGTTTTGTTTTTGTTTTCAGTTGAAACATGTTTTATTATTCAAAGGACAAATGGATCATTTTGTAAGGTTTAATACTGAAAAAAGGAATTGTAAAGACTGTAACAGATATAGTTACACCAAGTTTTAACAAAAGACCTATTCAGGACAACAATTTTACATTCTTGGTAGCAGAAATACAAAAGAAACACAAACATTAATAATTCATAACACAAATATGTTAAAAAAATTCCATTTATTAGAATAGTTCAATGATCCAAAATGTAATAACAATTTTGCATAACATGCAACTGATGAAAATCACAGATCCATTGTAAAAATAAACATCACAAAACATTATCACAACAACTTTGTTATAAATAAAACTTAACAAAATACTATGATAGTGGACGTTAAAAGTGAAATAATACTAAATAAAAGTTCCTGCCAATTCTAATACTTGCTAAAAATGAATAAAATACAATGCAGAAAATTTCTTACCATTAAGTGTGATTGCTACGTTGCTCAGAATTTTGCTACCAAAATAATTTTCTACAACTTTGTCTGTTGTCCATACATAAAGAAAATAAAAGAAGAATGTGTCCATGGGACACAGATGCCCCTGTTTGTAATTATACATCAAATTCAGCATTTTTTTCTTTTATAAAGGGACATAACTCGAGAACATTGAAACTTGACACCCTCAAATTCAAACTTGATCTGTATTTGGTGGTGATAAGCTTTGTGTATAAGTTTCATAATATTTGGTAGAGTCAATGTAAAGTTAGATTGCTGAAACAGCAAATTTGCCAGTTTTTCCATTTATAAAGGGACATAACTCAAGATGTTAAAGTGACACCACCAAAATTTGAGCTTGACCATTGTGTATAAGTTTCATAACATTTGGTTAAGGCAAACTAAAGTTAGAGATCGGAAACTAATCTTGGGACGTATGAAAGGACAAGGGTAAACCTTAATGCTGCCCCACTTGGCGGGGGCATAATAAAAACACATTTTTCTTGAAAACTTCTATACAAATTTTCAACACTTATGATTTAAAATAAGATGTGGTATGATTTCCAATGAAACAGTTGTCTACTCCAGCCAAAGAATGAGGTTCCAAATGATGTTGGTCAGACTGTTGTAACTGATAGAATAAGCACCACTCTTGCAGACCAGAACATTTCTACAGTCCTAAATGTCCATCTGACAAATCTGTTAGTAGTGATGTTGATTTTTATTACTACATTTTAAATAAGCCTTAAATTGGGTATCCTCAGTTTCTCTGTTCACGATAAAATGTCTCAACATCATGTAAATCTGCTTAAAAATTTGTATTTGATTCCTTTCAAGTGTATGCTAAATACCAGATATATGAAATGTGGTCATGATTTTAATTTGGTAAAAATACTGTACTTCTCCAATGTTTCAAAATTTGTTTGGTCTGGCTGAATTTGGCAAAACATGCACTTGAGACTAATACAAAAACATCATCATGGAAATGACTGTCAAACCTTTATTTTTCAATGTGTGAATTAGAATCTTTATCTGTTTGATGCTTAAATCTAAATCAAAATGTACCAGTAAACTTGCCACTTACTACAAATTCCATCCAAGTGAACCCTTATCGTGCAGATATACAAATAAGCAAATGCGATTTGGAAATGGTAGTAAAACTCAGAAGAAATTAATACCTTAAGTTTTCCTTTATAACATCCACAAAGATCTGGCCTAAGTCATAAAAATTTTGAGTACAATTTTCGAACTCATACTTAGAAACCAACCAATCAAAATACTGGATTTAGTGTTTCCAGCACAAATTTAGTCCTCTTGAGTGCCAAGTATAGTTATATGCCCGAAACTCTTTAACAGCCTTACAACTCGAAGATTAACTTTGCATGAGGGAGATGCAATCTAAATATTAGTACCAACACAAAGCTTATTAAGTAATTCTTAGATTACACAAAGCTTATTAAGTAATTCTTAGATTAGAGAATTATTTCATACCAATCAAAATCTACAAAAAGGATGTATTAAAATGAAATGGAATGGAATGTCAACCCACAAAAATGCTAAATACTAAATTGATAACAATAATTAAAAACAAAATACATACTATATTGTAAAAAGCACTTTATATTATACAAATGGTGCAACATTGTTAAAATGGACGGATGTAGATAAAAATTAGGTAACGGACTAAAATCCTGTTTAGAATTTTACCTTTAGACCTCACAAAATTATTTATTTTGTTTTACTCTTATTTAATACACACATTTTATTTTCATGTAAAAATCTAACTCTTTATGTCTATTAATATTCTATATATTAATATCAAACCAGGACATAATAGAATCAAGTATATATGCCTTTATGTTTTGTGTCCAGCACAACTAAAGCACTTTCTTTGGTTTCAAAATAGAAACATATACTTTTCCATCTGTTCTCTGAAAAGATGGCTGTTCTTCTTAAGCAAACTTTTAACTCCCAAGTTTCAAATGAAAAAGGCCCTATTACACATTTTTTTTTAGTAAAAAGAATAGTTGTTTTTTTATTTAAACTAGTTTTTGGACCTGCAAAAATATAAAGCACATGCCAGTCAAAATAAATAACATGTAAGTCTAGACAAACAACACCTCTTATCACAGTCTCATGTACATATTTATTTGGTACTTGCATGTGCTAAATATTTACACCTCACAACTTTGTGTCAAAATAGGCAATTTTTTTAATATTTGGGAGTAAAATCAAATTTATGCTATCTTTTGATTGCAAAATTTTTAGAGAAAATTCATATTTCAAATTCCTTACAGTTTGAAGTTTGCACATACTTATCAACTATCTTTATGAAATAACCACCTTATCTTGTTATAATTTGATTGTCAGTCCAAATAGGGCTTAGCACACCTCCTCCTTTTCAGCACTTTCTCATTCACACAATAAATTACACATATGTCATATATTTTAATAAAAATTTGCCAGACATAGCATACATCTTTTACTGCATAAATTCTAACATTCTAATAATGGCAAGGGAAATTAGTACCATACTTCATATGAAATACTCTGCGCTTAAAAAAGTAGTCGGAAATACAACAGAAAATTAAATTCTGATTTTTAAAGTGGACTTTTTTCTTAGTAACTACACATTTTTCAAAAAAGGATTTTTTAAAGGTCCTACAATGATGCAAACAAGTGCAGTGAAATAATTCAAATTAAGCTTAAATTGACTTGAAAGTGCAAATTAGAGTTGAAGAAAAGTACATAACTATACTAAAGTAGATAAAAATTAAATGGAAACATGGATCAACATGTCTGCTAATACTCTAGCACACAACACATTTCAATAATTTGAAAAGGCATGCAAACAATTTGGTCCCAAAATTTAAAAATTAAAAAAAAATCACTTTACATTAGCTACAGTTCAGTATCCAACCCACTCATTTCTGGCACCTGAGAAAGTTTCTGTGAAGAAGTCAAATTATTGTTATTAAAATAATCTGGATATCTTGCTGTTAGGTAAGTATCATCTGACCTTAGTGAACTAGGAGGTCTATATGACATATTGTCTGCTGAACTTGCAGTCAAAGGACCTAAGTCTAATCGTGGCACTTCTGGTGGGGGCGATTCTAATTTTGGCAGATCTCTATGCTGCCTGAGTTTTAACACAACTGGAGTTACAGGCATACCGTTAGTATAATCCAAACTACCATCTGGATTATATTTGGCATTGGGATTTACAGTTAATAATGTTGTAGCATTCAAATTTTCATCTGTATTCTTTGACTTTGATTTTTTACGTTTTGGTTTTTTACTTCTTCGTAAAGAGTCTTGAGAAATAATTCCAGAATCTGGACTATCGGAGCCCTTTGCAATATTCCTCTGTGATGAATTCCTAAATGCTAATGGCTTCTGTCGAGGTTTAGTTTCGTGTAATGATTCTGCAGAATCAGAATTATATTCCTGTGATGCACCAACAGCTGTCACAGGAACAAGTGGGGGTGGCGATACTTTTATTGGACTATGAATTGGTAATTCCAATTCAACATTCTGAGCAGTTGTATAGAATTGAGGATTACCTGTAAAAAAAATAAGAAAAATTTAGGAATTTTTCATTTAAGATTTCAACATTAATGTTTGATGAACTGAATACATATAAGTGCAACTGATAACATTAGACATTTAACGGTTTTTTATCAAAATCTTAAATTGACAAATTAATCAGTAAACTTTGAATTAAGCAACAAATTCTATCTGTTAAATTGTTTACTATAAAAAGATGATACTGTTTATGTTTAAACTATATTAAATATCAAACTGTTGATAAAACTGAAAACAACTATTCATTTCCATATAACTGGTTTCATTTGACATTATAAGGAATTTGAAATGTATTAAAGAGACTGAGCCTTTTTTGCATTTGTGAACATCAGATCGTATAAAGAAATTAAAATGAATAGTGACATTACCAATTGTAGAAATTTTTCTGTCAGTCTCATCATCTGAACTTCTGTGTGTTGGTGCTTTGTAGGATTTTTTCTTTTTTCTTTTAATCTTTTTAACTGTGACTTCATTGTCAATATGAGCATGTGGCTTTTTTCTTAAACTACCGTCTCTGTAAATTTTTTCTGCCTGCAAATATTTGAAATGGAAATATTGAGCATGACCACAAATATAACTAATATCTAAAAGCTAAATTCTAGAAGAAAAAAAGAAAATAGAAATTAATGGGACATCGATATTTTTCTTCATCCAATGGGGCATAATCAAACCAGGTTTAGTAAAGATGATGTTTATGACTAAAAATATATTGTTGGAAAACCAAAATTATGTTGGAATATGTAATGCCACAACTACTGAAAAAAATATCCTTCTGTCAATGGTGAAATCAAGAATATAACAAAGCATTTCTATATCATATTTGAATACTGAAAATGATTATCTCAGAACAAGCATACCCACCATAGATAACACAAATTCCAAAGTTCCTCTGTGCATATGCACATAGACATAAGATTAATTGGGAACTATATTTCAGTGTGGATAAATTCAGTAGCTAATCTGGTAACTTCCTGTCTGGGAGGTCTGTGCCTTAGGAAATAATTGGAACAATAGTTCCAATCTTTCACAAAAACAATTAATATAAAAGAGTTACAAAAGGTAAATGTCATAATTTAAAAAGAACAAATAAAACTGTGAGCTACTGCTCAATAATGATTTAAGAATTTGGTAAACAGGAAGTTGATAAGTGATGAATCTGACAACACATCTCACTGAAAAGCATGTTCACATGAAGCCTGATAAAAAATTTCACGAAGCTCTCATTTGTAGTTCCCCAGAAAAAGATAAAAATTCATACAAGGTAATTATGTGATAGAATATATAAGTATTCTATAAACACCAAGGTGAGGATTGGTGAATCTGTAACTGCTTAACACAGTATAGCATGTTTACATGATGACTGATAACAAATTTCGCGAAACTCTGATATAAAGTTCCTGAGAAAAATGCAACAGAATTTCACAGGACAGAAAGAGGTAAAAAAGTATACACCCCTCCTTTGGAGCTGGGGTATAATTCTGAGATAGAGGATATAATAAACCATATATTCATCATAACTTAGTAAACAGGAACAACTATCTATACAGAGTGTTAAACATTGATTTTTACAGCTATAACTTTGGAGACTTTTCACATACATTATTATTGTTTTCATTCTGTCTCATTGGACTGGTTGTAGGTGGTGGGGTCTCTCCAGAGGTTTCTCCTTCCTCTCTGTGTTTATATTCTTTTTCTTCTTTGAATGAACCTTTTCTATAATAAAAATGTTTCCTTATACAAAAAATCCTCTAATATAACACGATAACTAGTCATTTTTTTAAATAGCAAGTGGTAAGTTATATATATGATTGTGTTTGACTTTTAATAAAAAGTAATCTATTTGACCATATGCTAATATTATTCTATATATATCAGGAAGTAATCACATCAACTAAAAGTCTTACCTGTACGGTCTATTATTTTTATGATGTAACTACCATAAAATAATTTTCCAAGTAAATTATCAAGACAAAACAGTCTGTACTTTGCCTCCATCTTAATATATTTTAGCATCCCTTTCCTTGTGCTACTTTTGTGTACCTACTATGGTATATATTTTTACTTCATTCCAGTGTCAATTTCGAGAAAAAGTAATGGATATTTGAATTTTTTTATTTCTGATTATTTATCAATTTTCATTCTGACATTAATTAAATGGACTAACTATACTTAAGTGCTTTCTAGTTACATGCAGCCTTAGCCACTAGTAGTTCTTTTAAAATGCATTTACATACTTGACAATTTTTCTTGAGCCTCTTGGTCCTACTCTGTTCATCTGAAAACAGATATAAAGTATTACTCAAGGAACTAAAGCATTGTTTCTAATTATTTAGTTGACAACATTCAATAGTAAGAATTTTGTACCAATTAAATTCACTTTAATTATATCTAAATTACAACTACATATACTTGTATTAATCTCTTTTGCTTACATAACATGTCAAACTTTACATCTATCGAAATCTGAAGATTTGCAAATTAATTAAACAGAGGCTAACAGATTCCATAATGGATAAACAAACATTACAATATAAGTTATAACAAATACCAGCAATTATCAAGTCCCTAACTTGAGAGTGAGGCTCATATAATTGTAGCATGTTATTTGTGACTTGAATCTCCATCCTTTCCTAGTTTTAATAACATACTTATAAATTGTAAAGGTTCAAAGAGTCAATGATACATGCAGATATGGAGAAACAGTTTTTAAAAAAAGTCGAGTACATAATCTATTGCAACTAACAACATGACAAAAAGTTAAATAACAAAAATACCGAACTCCAAGGAAAATTCAAAACGGAAAGTCCCCCATGAAATGGCAAAATTAAAAGCTAAAACGCATCAAACTAATGGAAAACAACTGTCATATTCCTGACTTGGTACAGGAATTTCCTTATGTAGAAAAAGGTGGATTAAACTTGGTTTTATAGCTAGCTAAACCTAATCTGTACAACTACATATTGGGCTCCAGTAGTGTACCCCAATTAGGTCACAAGATCAGGCCACCAGGGTCCTTTTTAAGCAAATAAACAGTTTTGAATATTTTTTAAGGTCACAGGTCCTTCTTAATGAGACATCAGGTCGAAAAAGTGGCCTGCCAAGCCCCTGAAGGTCAGAGGTTGGATTTGACCATGTTGGAGCCACATATTAAATCAAATCTATCAATCTTTTTGTAATGAACATGACTATTTTCTTTTTTTAGTTATAAATATATAAAGCCTAATATTGATTCACTTATAGGGTCTTTGCATCGGCACTAAACACATTTATTTAAAAACCAGTTGTTGGCATGACACGGGTTATGTTCTTCTCATATATGTTATGATGGTATGATACTAAACCCCTAACGGGAAGGATTGTGCCTGATATTCATATGATGAAGACATAATCTTTCAATCAGTTTAATTGAAGTCTGGAGCTGGCATGTCAGTTAACTGCTAGTAGTCTGTTGTTATTTATGTATTATTGTCATTTTGTTTTTTTTCTTTGGTTACATCTTCTGACATCAGACTCAGACTTCTCTTGAACTGAATTTTAATGTGCGTATTGTTATGCGTTTACTTTTCTACATTGGCTAGAGGTATAGGGGTAGGGTTGAGATCTCATAAACATGTTTAACCCCGCCGCATTTTTGCGCCTGTCCCAAGTCAGGAGCCTCTAGCCTTTGTCAGTCTTGTATTATTTTTAATTTTAGTTTCTTGTGTACAATTTGGAGTTTAGTATGGCGTTCATTATCACTGAACTAGTATATATATTTGTTTAGGGGCCAGCTGAAGGACGCCTCCGGGTGCGGGAATTTCTCGCTGCATTGAAGACCTGTTGGTGACCTTCTGCTGTTGTCTGTTCTATGGTCGGGTTGTTGTCTCTTTGACACATTCCCCATTTCCATTCTCAATTTTACATATATTATTGATTTTTTCATATCCATTACATTTTGTTCCCAGAAAAGGTAAATTTGAACTTTTACTCACAAATACTACATTAAGACATCAACATTTACACATGATAAAACTATGGGTTTTAAAATGTACAATAATGCTTTAATATGTAAAGAAAACATCATTACCCTTACCATGCTTACAGGAACTCGCTTGCGTCTACCAGTAGACACAGGTGGTTTCACTGCTTCAACCTCTTTTTCTCTCTGTTTTACAATGTAATCATAAGTTGTCATCTTATTGTACACTGTAAAATTCAGAAAGAAAAAAATTTTAAAAATGTCATTTGTTGTACAAAAACAGTGTTTAAACCAAATTATGATGTGCTTCAAATGTTCAGAATTACAAAATAACTCACATTTATGGTCTTAATTCAAAGATAGAAAATTGAATAAACAAAATTTAACACTAGTCAACAGTATAAATATGTAGGATTTCTTCATACGTAACAATCATAATAAAATAAAATGCTCCGCAGGGCGCAGCTTGATACGACCGCAGAGGTCGAACCCTGAACAGTTGGGGCAAGTATGGACACAACATTCAAGCTTGATACAGCTCTGAATTTGGATTGTGATTAAATATTTGACACAGCATAGGTTTCTGACACAGAATGAATGTGGTCTAAGAACTTAAAAATTTTTAAATTGGACATTCACCTATTATGGTCCAATATCCAAAATCTAAATACATGGTTAGATTCGGCATATCAAAGAACCCCAAGAATTCAATTTTAATGAAATCAAACAAAGTTTAATTTTGGACCCTTTTGACCTCAATGTGGACAAAGTTGATAATGGGGCCCAAAAATCAAAAATCTAAATACATGGTTATTTCAGCATATCAAAGAACCCCATATATTCAATTTTTGTTGAAATCAAACAAAGTTTAATTTTGGACCCCGATTTGGACCAACTTGAAAACTGGGCCCATAATCAAAAATCTAAATACATATTTAGATTCAGCATATCAAAGAACCCTAAGAATTCAATTTTTGTTAAAATCAAACTAAGTTTAATTTTGGACCCTTTGGACCTTAATGTAGACCAATTTGAAAACGGAACCAAAAAATTAAGAATCTAAATACACGGTTAGATTTGGCATATCAAAGAACCCCAATAATTCAATTTTTGATGAAATCAAACAAAGTTTAATTTTGGACCCTTTGGACCTCAATGTGGACCAATTTAAAAACGGGGCCCAAAATCCAAAAACTTAATACACGGTTAGAATCAGCATATTAAAGAACCCCAAGAATTCAAGAATAAAACCCCATTGAAATTGGTCAAGAAATAAGCAATTTATACGAAGTATCTTCTTTTGCACAATACTGTGCAATTGAATATTTCTTGCTATTGCGCAATACTGTACAATTGACAATTTCTTGCTATTGCGCAATATTGTGCTATTGGATATTTCTTGCTATTGCACAATACTGTGCAACTGAAGATTTCTTGCTATTGCGCAATACTGTGCAATTGAAGATTTCTTGCTATTGTGCAATTCTGTGCAATTGAAAATTTCTTGCTATTGCACAATACTTATTATATAATAATTTACACATCCTGTTTGGTGTGTATCTCCTACCATATCATTATTATTTGCTTTTAAATATAAAACAGAAATAACCAACTTAAAATGGAAAATTTTCAAAGAAAAAAAAAAGGAAAAAAAAAAAATCCCCCTCCCCAAAATTTTTTGAACCCCCTTATGATTCATCACCCCCAAACTCAATCCCAGCCTTCCCTTTGTGGTATGGTACCTTGCAGTACAATTTCAGAGAGATCCATACACTTGAACACAAGTTATTGTCTGGAAACTAGAAAAATGCTTATTTTTGGCCCCTTATTCCTAAACATTTTGGGCAATTACCCCCAAACTCAATTCCAGCTTTCCCTTTGTGATATGGAACCTTGTAGTGCAATTTCAGAAAGATCCATACACTTACACACAAGTTATTATCATAAAACTAGAAAAATGCTTGTTTTTTGCCCCTTTTTTGGCCCCTAATTCCTAATATTTTGAGGCAATTACCCCCAAAATCGATCCCAGCATTCCCTGTGTGATATGGAACATTGTGGTACAATTTCAGAGAGATCCATACACTTGAACACAAGTTATTGTCTGGAAACTAGAAAAATTTGTAAGGGTTCCGCGGAATCCAGTGTCTCGCCTACTTTTGCTGTTAATCGCAGGCTCAACAAAAATGAGGAAAAAATCAATAAAAATATTCCTTAAGATACTATCTTTTGATTGTAAGAAGCTTCTGTCAAAGTTTGGTATAAATCCAGGATAATTTATGAATCTAATAAATGTTTTAATAAAATGCTCCGCTGGGGCGCAGCTTGATACGACCGCAGAGGTCGAACCTTGAACAGTTGGGGCAAGTATGGACACAACATTCAAGCTTGATACAGCACTGAATTTGGATTGTAATTAATATTTGACACAGCATAGGTTTCTGACACAGAATGAAAGTGGTCTAAGAACTTAAAATTTTTTTAATTTTCCTATTCAAACCATATCATTATTATTTGCTTTTATAATGGGAAATTTTAAAATGGAAAATAAAAGGAAAAACAAATCCCCCCCCCAAATTTTTTGAACCCCTTTATGATTCATCACCCCAAAATTCAATCCCAGCCTTCCCTTTGTGGTATGGTACCTTGCAGTACAATTTCAGAGAGATCCATACTCTTGAACACAAGTTATTGTCTGGAAACTAGAAAAATGCTTGTTTTTTGGCCCTTTTTGGCCCCAAATTCCTAAACGTTCAGGGCAATTACCCCCAAACTCAAACCCAGCTTTCCCTTTGTGATATGGAACCTTGTAGTACAATTTCATAAAGATCCATACACTTACACACAAGTTATTGTCCTGAAACTAGAAACATGCTTGTTTTTTTGCCCTTTTATGGCCCCTAATTCCTAAAATTTTGAGGGAATTATCCCCCAAAATCAATCCCAGCCTTCCCTTTATGGTATGGTACCTTGCAGTACAATTTCAGAGAGATCCATACACTTGAACACAAGTTATTGTCTGGAAACTAGAAAAATGCTTATTTTTTGCCCCTTTTTGGCCCCTTATTCCTAAACTTTTTGGGCAATTACCCCAAAACTCAAACCCAGCTTTCCCTTTGTGATATGGAACCTTGTAGTACAATTTCATAAAGATCCATACACTTACACACAAGTTATTGTCTGGAAACTAGAAAAATGCTTGTTTTTTGCCCCTTTTTGGCCCCTAATTCATAAAATATGGAGGCAATTAACCCCCAAAATCAATCCCAGCATTCCCTTTGTGATATGGAACCTTGTGGTACAATGTCAGAGAGATCCATACACTTACACACAAGTTATTGTCATGAAACTAGAAAAATGCTTGTTTTTTGCCCCTTTTTGGCCCCTAATTCCTAAAATTTGGAGGCAATTACCCCCAAAATCAATCCCAGCATTCCCTTTGTGATATGGAACCTTGTGGTACAATGTCAGAGATATCCATACACTTACACACAAGTTATGTCTGGAAGTTACAAATTTTTTTTGCGGTCGTATAAAAACTTTAACTGCAGACTGTATTTAATGTTAACTGGAAGAAAAACTAAGTCCATTACTAGGTAAAATACGGATAAACAGGTAAAAAATTTTAACAAATTTACTTCTGGATACTATATTATGATCATAAACAAGCTTCTGTCCAAGTTTGGTACAAATCCAGGATAGTTTAAGAAAGTTATTAAAATTTTAAAAACTTCAACCACAGAGTGAATGTATTGTTCCTGGCAGAAAAACTAAGTCCATTTATAAGTAAAATACGGAAAAATGAAATTTTTTTTTTTAGCAAATTTACTTCTGGATACTATATTATGATCATAAACAAGCTTCTGTCCAAGTTTGGTACAAATCCAGGATAGTTTAAGAAAGTTATTAAAATTTTAAAAACTTTACCCACAGAGTGAATGTATTGTTTCCTGGCAGAAAAACTAAGTCCATTTATAAGTAAAATACGGAAAAACAGGAATTTTATTTTTACAAAATTTACTTCTGGATACTATCTTATGATCATAAACAAGCTTCTGTCCAAGTTTGGTACAAATCCAGGATAGTTTAAGAAAGTTATTAAAATTTCAAAAACTTTAACCACAGAGTGAATATTTGTGGACGCCGCCGCCGCCGCCGACGGAATGTAGGATCGCTATGTCTCGCTTTTTCGACTAAAGTCGAAGGCTCGACAAAAATGCTTATTTTTGGCCCCTTATTCCTAAACGTTTTGGGCAATTACCCCCAAACTCAATTCCAGCTTTCCCTTTGTGATATGCTATGGAACCTTGTAGTACAATTTCAGAAAGATCCATACACTTACACACAAGTTATTGTCATGAAACTAGAAAAATGCTTGTGTTTTGCCCCTTTTTTGGCCCCTAATTCCTAATATTTTGAGGCAATTACCCCCAAAATCAATCCCAGCATTCCCTGTGTGATATGGAACCTTGTGGTACAATTTCAGAGAGATCCATACACTAACACACAAGTTATGTCTGGAAGTTACAAAAATGCTTATTTTTGGCCCCTTTTTGGCCCCTAATTCCTTAACTGTTGGTACCATAAACCCCAAAATCAATCCCAACCTTCCTTTTGTGGTATTGAACCTTATGGTAAAATTTCATTGAGATCCATTCACTTAAACTAGAGTTAGAGTGCGAAAACCAATGTGTCTTCAGACGATGCCGGACGACGACGACCCCAACGTCATACCAATATACGACCGCAAAAATTGTTTGCGGTCGTATAAAAATTGAAGGTAAATAGAAGTCAAAGTTACTTTTGATATGTAGTGGAACTGTTAAATAAACAGTTTCTTATTAAAGATGTAGAAAAAAAGTTTCAGTTCATGATCAAACCCAATCTAATTAAAATATCTGCACCCACTCATTTTTTTAATGCTTGGTCAATAAAACACAAACTTACTTAGATAACAATGGAAGGCAAAAAGATGAATGAGTAATGCTAAAGATAGTAAGAGCAGTATTGCTGTTATTCCCAACAGTGCTAACCATCCTGCTTTCTCTTTTATTGGTATGTGCATAATCTTAAACTCTGTAAGTAAAAAAAATATAATTAAATATGATTTGTTATCTAGAAAAGCTACAAAAGAGAATTTTCAGAGAAGCTTTTTCTTTATTTGCAAAAATCTGGTAAAAACTAAAATAAGCAAATTCAATACTTGGAGACTGCCAATGAAATTGGTACTTTTATAAGATTAAGTCTTATTTATTATGATGTATCTAGCAAATTAAACTTTTCAGTCAATCATATCTTACCAGCAAGCTAGGTTTGGCCTATTTTAAGCCCTTATTTGGTCCTAAAGATTAGGGCTAAAAATGTGGCAAAAAATATATGAAGAGCCCTTTTTTGTTAAAAAAAAAGAAGTAAATATTATTTATGTAAATTTGTTGTCTGAGGTTTTGCAGAGGTGTGGTTGATATTTTTATAAATAATTGACATGTTGTTTTTTTGTGTCCTTTTTGGTCATATAGCTCTTCATTTGTTTCCGTTTTCATTCATCCTTGGCTTTCAAATATTAGGATTTGAGTGTTCCTGATGAAGGTAAATCCAGAAAAGTGCTTCAGACTCATGAAATATATAAAGTATTGTTTTATTTTTTTTTAATATTTGAGCAAAGGTTTATCAATAAATCAAAATGTGATAAAAAGCATGTAATGAATGTGTTACTGGTAAATGATATGGACTTTTATGGGGTTTGCTCATTGTTGAAGGCCATACAGTGACCTATAGTTATACACTTCTATGTCATTTGGTCTCTGGTGGAGAGTTGTCTCATTGGCAATCATACCACATTTTTTTTAATTTTTATATCATGAACATTCTCATATCTTACTATCTTACTGAAACTTGTATTTGACATTTCAATGAATATTGGATAACACTATCGTTTTTGTGAATAAAATTAAAACAAAGAATATGTCTAACATTAACTAATATATTGCATATACAGAAAAAACATAAAATTATATTTTTGAATTTTCATATTTTTAATCATATTCAAGAGGATTCCAATTTATAGCAAATTTGCTAAAATAAAGTTTTCAAGAAAATATCCCGAAAACATTATAATCTTAAGCATACAATTAGAAAACAGTTTAGGTTGTTTGATTAATACAATCAATAATAAACTATATAGTTTACCTGGTGATGCTGATGTCAAATTTGGATCTGAAAATAAATTAAAATCAATATTTCTACTTGAGTATAATGAGATAAACAAAGTTTCTCAAACTTCCGACAATTAATAGTTTTACCAATCAATACAGATGAAATTAGTTTCGAGATCTAGATATATTTAAAACAATAGGATCGATTCTACTATTAACCTTAAAATACTTCAATCAAATGTTTAGATTCTTAAAGCCTTTTTAAATAGGTTGTCAGTTTAATTGGTTCTACTTTTTTGTTAACCTAAATGGAGTGAATAAATGGAGACATTGTGTATACATGAAGTTATACCAAAAACAGACATCTGAAGGTCAATATATAAACTTTAATGAACCAAATGTCAAACCTGAATTTCCTAGTCCAAAGTTTTATCATTCTTTACTTTGGATTATCTGAAGTTTATTTAAAATTTAGAAAAAAATATTTTACAAATATCCTTTCCATCATCAGATTGGGGTACATATCAAACCAACAACATATTCAAACAAGAACACATTACAATGTACCTAAATGTATTCAAATCAGTTTATTTATTTTTGTTGTTGTTTATGAATTGGATTTGGATTTGTCACAAGTACCAATTATGTTTACTTATATAACAATAAAGACTTATTATAAAAATATTTATTCCTGTATACTTACTTAATTGCAACATTTCTCTGTAATCTGTACAATATAAAGGCAACATAAATCAATCATTTATATAAAACATTCAATGAAATGGTTGAAATAAGTAAACTGTATAAGAGCCTGGCTTACTTTTTACCACAAAAAACGAAATCAGTATATTCCTTATTTTATACAACAAAATGATTCTTTTTCTTTTATTGAAAGGAAAAATCAATGAATAATGATAACACAGTGGTACAAACCCATCAAGATAATCTAAAGGATTAGTTTTTTATGGTAATTATATTGATGCTTGATTACCTTAATAATGTACATGATGAGTGCCACATGTGCAGGATCACTTATTCCGGAGCACCTGAAATCACACTCAGTTATTGATGGGGTTCATGTTGCTCAGTCGTTAGTTTTCTATGTTGTGGTTTGTATATATACTGTTGTTTTTCTTTTGATTGTTTTTGTTTTTTTGCCATGCCATTGTCGGTATGTTTTAGACTAGAGTTTAAATGTATATCCCTTTGGTATCTTTTGCCTCTCTTTTTTATTAGAATTAAAGAAATAGCATATGGAAAATATCTTCTGTAGAATATTTCCTGTTTGGTTTATTTTCATTTTCTTACTTGTTTATGTATTTTTTCATTAACTTTTATATTTAGAAAATAAGGAATATTTTTTTACCTATATAAGGCAGTAGTATTTCTCCATCATCTTCATCTGTAAAGTATGCAATAAACTCTACCATACAAACAAGGAAAACAAGTAACACACCTATAATCCCAGTAACAAGTACAGCGAGAAACCAACTGAAAAAAAATATCAAAATGTATCTGTTTGTCACTATGTGGTCATCAACAATTTTGGCTGTGTCCCTTAATTTTAGGGCAGCTTTCCCCATTTTTGAAAGAGGGAAGCAATTTCCCTTCTTTCCCCCTTGCTACTATACCATTGTAACATTATATTCTTGCTAAGAAACAGATGCAATTTATTCTTAAACATTGTTATTATAATGTAGATATAAATCAATAAATCTGCAAATGTTGCAATCTTCCAGATGAAAGCTGTATATACATAAAGATATTTAATACATGTAATTAAATTTATGATTTTTCTTTTTCAATTTTAGTATACTTACTTATAATTACGTCCACCAACACAGTTATTTAACCATTTGCAATGATGGTCAAAGTTCGTCACACACTTATTACATGCACTGCAATGTTTAGATTTAGCACCTCTGAAAATAATATTATTTCAAACATTATAATGGCCTGTCATATATGATGCTATAAAAATCAAATTTATTACAAAATCCTGCTCTTGGTAGTCAAAAAGACCAACTAAATCTAATAATGAATCTATTCATGTAAAATATAGTTTTGACAAAATAAAAGACTTCAAAAGATACACAAACACACAATTACAAAGCTATCCACATGTTATAAATACAAAGAGATAACTATAGCATGTCAACACAGATGTTATGAGTTTAAAACATGTATATGCCAGGTGTCTTTATTGACTATTATTGTCAGTTATCCTACCGAAGGCCACAGTATAGCCTAGCATCCTGAAAGAGCTGTTTAACATCAACAATCCATCAATATAAATACAAAAGAACGATTACAAATATAAATCTATCTTCAATGCACAAAAGAATAATATTAACTTACACGTCAACTTCACAAATATAACAATGCATGTTTTCTATAACATGTTTATGTTTCCGTCTGTCAAATTTGGCTTGCTGTTTACTGTTTTTTTGTATAACTGCTACATCAGCAGGGTTGATAGTACTGGCTACAATATGTGACACTGCATGTGCAACTAAAGCAATCCCAGTCACCTGTTCATTGCTAAGGAAAATTGTGAATCTGACCCTACTTCTATATATAATGCAAAGATTATTCTTACTGGCACTTGTAATGTGTGTAGACAGATAGCCTTTGACTTATTAAATAACTTATATATTGGCAATATAAGCCTCTAAAGGCTGGCTGATATATTATACTATTGCTGATGTATTAAAGTGTGATTGTGATGTTATATTATGTATATTGTATCAGGATGCACTTTTACAGTTTCTACAGATATATAAACATCAAATTCATGACATTGGTTTAGTCAAACAATAAAATTTGTTTCTTTTTAGGTTGTAAACTTGTTAATTGTTAATCATTATTGTCAGTAACATATAATCATGATAATAGCAACAAATTAATTACAAATATAAAGTGACATCCCAGTTTTACAACCTCTTTTTTGTAATTTAGTGAGCTACAGCTTCTGCATTAGTCCTTATGATTTACTAATCTAATTCAATTTTTCGATTGGCTACTGACTGTCATAAAATCCACATTTGCAATGCCAAACTAGCTGTTTGACTTCGACTGAGCCACCAAATTGGATTCCTGAAACTCAAAATATTCAATTTATCACGATGTGATTCAAGAAAGAATAATATCTAAATCAGAAATAAAAAAACATGAACCTACGACCACAAATAATTTGAGTTAACAAGGATACAATATATCCTGCTGGGTGCCAGTTTGTTGGTAATGCTGGAACCATAGTGGTGAAATATACTACAGTATAATAAAAGACAGCAAACCATGCAACAAACTGAAGAGGATGGAAAGGACAACTCCAGCCATTCACTCTGAAATGGTGATGATATTCTGTTTCTGGATGAGGCATCTTGCCTTTCTGTAATCTGTAAAAAAAATCAATATTTAATTATAACTTTCTTTAATAAATAATTGTTCATATCATTTTAATACCTTATTTTGCAGCTGCCATATCAGTTCTCTATTATCATCATAGGTTTAAAAAGCCATCATGCATGACCATAGTGAATAGTTTTTTTAAGTTACTTTCAGCTTCTTAAAAACATTTCTGTTAAATCAGCAAAGTAGGTAGGATGGGATGAAGAGAAGAAAATATGACAGACACTAAAAAGAAAAAGTTTATGTAAGATAGGGAAAAGAATTAAATGTCTTGAAATAGGCCACCTACAAAGCCCTCAAAGAGTTATTGCAAGGTTTCTTTAACATGCAAGAGCAAACTCCAAACTTGAGTCATCATATATAATCACCCAATTTCAACAAGACTGCAAATATACATCCTGAATAGCCAAACTGACACCCCTCTTTTAGAGATTTTTACTGCCAGATGGTAGAAATTCTGCTGGTGATCATATTGAGGGTATCACCAGCCCAATAGTCAGCACTTTTGTGTTGACATGAATTATCACTGATATGGTCATAATAATAAATTAACTGTTTACAAAACTTTGAATTTTTCAAAATTACTAAGGATGTTCTACCCCAGGAATAGATTACCTTAGCTGTATTTGGCAAGGCCTTTCGGAATTGTTAATCCTCATTACTCTTCAACTTCTTACTTTATTTGGTCTTTTTTTTTTCCTTTTTTTATTTGAACCTCACTGATCATACTAGTCTTTTGTAGATGAAAGGCGTGTTTGGCGTACAAAATTTTAATCCTGGTATCTATGATGAGTTTGTTTATCTTAATACCCCAGTCAACCCTTGAGGTTTTCATTATTTAAAGTGTGAGGAAAGATTTAAATATCTTTTTAATTTTTTCTGCTCTTCTCGACTTGGTATTTACATAAATTTTACATACATTGAAGTGACACATCATGTTATTTACATGTCCTTAATTACAATTTAAATGACTTATAGATAAGAAACTAACCTGCAAGTGTTACTGTGATAAACAACACCCAGTAAGTTACAACTAAATGATTTTAAGATACTTTCCAAACATTGTTACACTTTTACAAATTAGAATAAAATATCTTGTAACCATCTGCTGTACCTTAAAAACAATTTTCCAGGTGAATAACAATATTACAAGACAGTGAAGAAGGATCAATAAATTTTTTTTTCATATAATATATTGTGAGAAGATGTTGATCTTGAGTTAATCAGGGCAGTATCTCGATGATTGGTAAACACAGATTATACTGTAAACAAATGGGCTAATGATCTCTGAGTGTATTGATTTTTTTCCTGTATATATAAATGTTTCCATGTCAAATGGAATAAGTAGGTCACTTTAAGCCTAGAAGATATTTTTATGAGTTCTTTTAAAGATGTAAAAAATTCAGAGTTATTTTGAAGGAAATCTTCAATTCTTAATTCTTACAAGTTCTGTGCCAGTCTGTGGATTCATTTATATTACATCTTGTTTTTACATGTACCGGACTGTTAAGACCATATAGGTATTTTTTCAACAAGAGTGCACACGCTGAAATGTCTCGCCTTCTTTACTAATCATTGATATTATGTTGATAGTCCTAAATATAAAGCTTTATTACAACTGTCACATAAACTTAACATTAACCAAGTAAACTAAACATTGACCAATGAACCATGAAAATGAGGTCAAGGTCAGATGAACCATGCTAGGCAGGCATGTACAGCTAACAATTCTTCCATACAACAAATATAGTTGACCTATTGCTTATAGTTTAAGAAAAACAGACGAAAACACAAAAACTTAACACTGAGCAATGAACCTTGAAAATGAGGTCAAGGTCAAATAAAACCTGCGTGACTGACATATAGATCATAAAATATTTCCATACACCAAATATAGTTGAACTATTGCATATAGTATTAGAAAAAAAGACCAAAACTCAAAAACTTAACTTTGACCACTGAACCATGAAAATGAGGTCAAGGTCAGATGACACCTGCCAGCTAGACATGTACACCTTACAATCATTCCATACACCAAATATAGCTGACCTATTGCATGCAGTATTAGAAAAAAAGACAAAAACTCAAAAACTTAACTTTGACCACTGAACCATGAAAATGAGGTCAAGGTCAGATGACACCTGCCAGCTAGACATGTACACCTTACAATCATTCCATACACCAAATATAGCTGACCTATTGCATGCAGTATTAGAAAAAAAGACCAAAACTCAAAAACTTAACTTTGACCACTGAACCATGAAAATGAGGTCAAGGTCAGATGACACCTGCCAGCTAGACATGTACACCTTACAATCATTCCATACACCAAATATAGTAGACCTATTGCATACAGTATAAGAAAAACAGACCAAAACACAAAAACTTAACTATAACCACTGAACCATGAAAATGAGGTCAAGGTCAGATGACACCTGCCAGTTGGACATGTACACCTTACAGTCCTTCCATACACCGAATATACTAGACCTATTGCTTATAGTATCTGAGATATGGACTTGACCACGAAAACTTAACCTTGTTCACTGATCCATGAAATGAGGTCGAGGTCAAGTGAAAACTGTCTGACGGGCATGAGGACCTTGCAAGGTACGCACATACCAAATATAGTTATCCTATTACTTATAATAAGAGAGAATTTAACATTACAAAAAATCTGAACTTTTTTTTCAAGTAGTCACTGAACCATGAAAATGAGGTCAAGGACATTGGACATGTGACTGACGGAAACTTCGTAACATGAGGCATCCATATACAAAGTATGAAGCATCCAGGTCTTCCATCTTCTAAAATATAAAGCTTTTAAGAAGTTAGCTAACGCCGCCGCCGCCGCCGCCGCCGTAGCCGCCGCCGCCGCCGCCGCCGGATCGCTATCCCTAAGTCGAGCTTTCTGCGACAAAAGTCGCAGGCTCGACAATAAAAGTAGAGAACTTTCTTTGAACCAAAATAGGCACAATTTACTAAACTAAAATCCTACATCTAATTCTTTGACACATTTGTCTGAACATTAGTGTATCTATTATTTTGCCTTCAGTATAGTCAATTAAAAGCGCCTTTATCCTGTAAAATTTTTCGACCGTAAGTAAAACCACAGGCGTTCAGGGCATTTTTCCCTGTTTTTAGATAGTTATTTTTAGAAAAAACAATTTCTACTAATTTCGTCTGATTTTCACTTAATTGATGTGTTGTTGCTCCCGCTCAAATGTTCTAACAATAGCAGTAGTTTATACGTGCTGCCCCTATAAGATAATTGATGTTTTCTTGATTTTCCACATAAGAATAGAATGAGAGCACGTATAAACAACTGTTATTGTAAGATTGTATAATTAGGATCAAGAAAACATCAAATAACTAAATTAAAGAAATTTTAATTAAATAAAATACAAATTTAAGCACCAATAAAATGCTTCGCTGAGCGCAGCTGGATACTGTTGCAGAGGTCCAACCCTGAACAGTTGGGGTGAAAATGGACACAATATTCGCGCTTGATACAGGTCTGAATTTGGATTGTAATTAAATATTTGACACATAATAGGTTTCTGACACTGAATAACTGTAGTCAAAGAACTTAGAATTGGTTATATGATTTGAATTTATATTCAATTTTTTGCTTTTGTGCAATACACTATGCAAAAAAAAAAAAATATTTGAAGAAATTTTCTTTTTAATCTCGGAAATCTGAAATGAAAAAAAAAATTGCCCCCCACAATTTCTTTTTTACCCCCCTCCCCTAATTCCTAAACGGTTTGAGCCATAACCCCCCAAAGCCAATCCTAACCATCCCTTTGTGGTATGGAAACTTGTGGTATAATTTCAGAGAGATCCATACACTTAAACACAAGTTATTGTCTGGAAGTTACAAAAATGCTTATTTTGGCCCCTTTTTGGCTCATAATTCCTTAACTGTTGGTACCATAACCCCCAAAATCAATCCCAACCTTTCTTTTGTGGTATTGAACCTTATGGTAAAATTTCATAGAGATCCATTCACTTAAACTAAAGTTATTGTGCGAAAACCAATGTGTCTTAGGACGACGACTACGATGACGACGCCAACGTCGACTCATACCAATATACAACCGCAACATATTTTTTTGGCTCGTATAAAAAGGAATAAGAAAAAAAGGCTTTAATGCTCTCACTGCCTGAGTGTAAAACAACTGACTTCTTGTTTAACAGTCCTTGAGTTAGTTTTCCCAAGTTGACATGTTGTGTTTCGAAAGGAAAAGTCCATAATGCTTCAAATAAAATTTTACTTTGAGTAGCAGAATTCACACTTTATTTCCTTAATCATGTAACAATGATTACCATATGTCAGATTAAATATGTCAAAGTTTCATTTTTAAAAATTCTTAATTTATGACACCTTGAAGGATCATACCTTAAGTAATTTACAGTAAAAGTACTCTTCAACATTCAATGTATTAATTATACAAATATGGTCATGACTATACGTGTATGATCCAAAAACTCATATGGTCAGGAGCACATAAATTAACTTTCTTATATCAGTATTGTTGAACAAATCTTAATATATCATATGGTAAAAAGAATGTACAATGTATACCCGTAAATAAGAAATATGACCTTTATTTTTATTAACAGTTCTTTTTATGAGGAAATATAAGAATAAATTACAATTTTCCACCACATATAATGAAAACATGCCAAGAAGTAGTCAATGTCCCCTGAATGTACATGTACTTCACACATGGGCCAATTTCAAAAAGTCTTTGAATCTCTACTCTACAAAATTCACAGTATCACAGCTTTACATGTGTACTTGGGGTGTTCTTACAACATACATGTTTCTGGCTTATTTTACAATCAAAGAACAAAATTATAAGTGCCCAAAAATAGCTCAGAACCTGGATTTTTTCCTATAGATTTTGGCAAATTAAGAGTACTTCTACAAAATAAAACATTATTGGATTTATTTTGTACAAAACAGAATGAAACAAGTTACTTTACAAATGGCAAAATATCAATGTTCTAAAAAAAAACAATATTGTAACACCTCAAGTAAACAAGCACTTCTACACAATCTTACTAAGATAATATGACAAAATGGAGTGACAAATGGTTATTTTAAAAAGTTCTATCCAGAAAAATTCGTAAGGGTTCCGTGGAACCCAGTGTCTCGCCTACTTTTTCTGTTAATTGCAGGCTCAACAAAAATGAGAAAGTAAATCAATAAAAATATTCCTCTTGATACTATCTTTTGATTGTAAGAAGCTTCTGTCCAAGTTTGGTAAAAATCCAGGATAGTTTATGAATCTAATAAATGTTTAAAAACTTTAACTGCAGACTGAATGTAATGTTAACTGGAAGAAAACAAAATTTCCTTCTAGATACTAGCATTTGATCATAAACAAGCTTCTGTCCAAGTTTGGTACAAATCCAAAATAGTATAAGAAAGTTATCAAAATTTTAAAAACTTTAACCACAGAGTGAATGTGTTGTTTCCTGGCAGAAAATCTAAGTCCATTTAAAAGTAAAATAAGAAAAAATGGATTTATTTTTTTACAAAATTTACTTCTAGATACTATCTTATGATCATAAACAAGCTTCTGTCCAAGTTTGGTACAAACCCAGGATAGTTTAAGAAAGTTATTAAAATTTTAAAAACTTTAACCACAGAGTGAATGTAATATTTCCGGGCAGAAAAACTAAGTCCATTTATAAGTAAAATACGGAAAAAATGGAATTTTATTTTTACAAAATTTACTTCTGGATACTATCTTATGATCATAAACAAGCTTCTGTCCAAGTTTGGTAGAAATCCAGGATAGTTTAAGAAAGTTATTAAAATTTCAAAAACTTTAACCACAGAGTGAATATTTGTGGACGCCGCCGCCCACGACGATGACGGAATGTAGGATCGCTATGTCTCGCTTTTTGACTAAAGTCAAAGGCTCGACAAAAATGTAAACATATGAATATCACAAAATCATGTAACCCAAAAAAATCATAACTACACATGTACCATTTGATGTGTCTCATTATGGAACAGGCACAGGAAGAAAAGGACATATGAGTGATAATTGACTTTGGTTTCACAATTGAGGAAAGAGAAGAAAACAAAGCAAACTTAATGTCCATACAACTAAGAGCAGTCTGTTATTAAAATGTTGACACATTTGTTGCACTTTATAAAATGATGGTCAGATAACAAATAGCTTATGCTACATTTTGTTGTTGTACATATGTATATAGTTCAGATTTAGCTCAGTATAAAAATAAATAAAATCGAAAAAAATCTAACAAGTGCCAAATATTAGGAAACCCTTTGGATCTCAATGTGTACCAATTTAAAAACGGGGCCCAAAATCCAAATACACAGTTAGAATAGCATCTTAAAGAAGCCCAAGAATTCAAGACTCAAAATCAATCCCAACCTTCCTTTTGTGGTATGAAACCTTGTGATTCAATTTCATAGAGACCCATTCTCTTATACTCAAGTTATTGTCTGGAAACCAAATATCTTCAGACGATGACGATGACGACAACAACAACGCTATACCATTATACAACCACAAAAATGTTGTGGTCGTATAAAAATCATGTATCTAGACTAAAGTATCAATCAGTACACATCCGACATCCAATGGATTTAGTGAGAGTGCAATGCCAAAATATAGGAATTGACAGTATGTACATATGATATGTGTATAGCAATAATATATAGTTGGGTTTTAATTTATTGGTAAGAAAATCAATATTTATACAGATAAAAACAATATTCAAAGATCTATCTAATGACAGTGTTAAATTGGTAACCTTTTCGAATAAGTCTATTTAGAGGATAGATAAGTTTAATTGGATCTGGCCCAATCACATCTAAATTTACAGGCTTGATAAACATCACCATAAGTCTTAATTTAACTTATATGTACATGTGTATATACTGACATGCATTTACAATGTAAAGAACAAATTTTTAAGGTACAGTATGCAATGTATAAGAATAAAGCATCTATTACATGTAATCAACTTAGACTAATTTTTAAGACAAGTTGGACCAGTTTAAAAGACTACTCAGACCAGTTTGAAAGATTAATAAGACCAGTTTGAAAGACAACTCTGTCCAGTTTGAAATAAATTCATTACAACTCGGGACCCAATTTGAAAGACAACTCAGACCACTTTAAAGGCAGTGTTTTTAAATACAGAAAAGTTTGAAGACTACTAGGATCACTTATTTACAACTAGGAGGTGATTTACTATATATGAAAGACTTAAACATATATATCTGTTTTAAATGTTCATTGCAAGTTAAGATATTGGCAAGATTTGTCTTTAAAATTGATAAGAAGTGTCTTTAAATGATTCTGACCAGTGTTTCTAGTAAACTAGTCTACATTTTGTAAGTTATCTTTCAAACTGGTCCGAGTTTTCTTTTAATTGGTCAAAGTTGTCTTTGATTCAAGTCGTCCTAATTCCGAAAATACAATTCTTTTATTCCGAGACTGTTTTAAGGTAGATTAACTGTATACTGCCATATACGATTGTAAAATAGCAGTACTCAATTGGTTTTATTTTTGCATAAATCTTTAAATTTTGAGACAGAAAAGTAAAAATCAGCGATTTATTGCATTATTAAGACTGTTTTTACAGATACAAAATATGTGATTGTTCAATTCAATTTTTTCGACTTAGCCATATGAGGGGAATTAACTCTTACATAAAAAATTTAATAAAAAAAAAAGAAATGTTAATGAATTTTTTGGTTTTTTTTACTTGTAGCAAGAAAACAAGCTAAGTTTAGTGACACCATTCCCCCCCCCCCCCCCCCCCTCCTCCCTTTATCTGTAACAGCCTATTATAAAACCTATCTTCTCATATTTTTTTTTCAAAATTCTATCTCATAGATTTCTTCCTTATATGTATACTCAAAAAGTGTTTTTTCATGAAAAATATAGATGCAAAATTAAGCTTGAAAAATTGATTTGCATGCCACAGTTACCAATACTTTTTTATATTTTTTAAAAAAGCACATGGTCAAACCTTCATTTTTGCAAAGTATAAAAAAATATATAGTGGTGATACACATTAATTTATCAAAAATTTCCTACATGTTCCTGTTCAATGGATCTCTCCTTTTTGTGAATATACAAATGTGAAATATGGTGCTTGGACAACTGTTCTCATGAAAGGAGCTATATCTTCATCTTTACCCAAAAGATATCATGTATTTGTCTCTTATATTTATAAACTCATGATAATAAAGTGATTATTCCAAGACTGACACTTGAGTCTAAGTTGAGTCTTGACACATATTTTAAAACTTTTTTATACTAAAAAATTTTAAATCTAAAAGAACACTTTTATACAGTATCAATATGGGAAATAAATTTTAAAATTTATATATACATGTATATAATGTACGTATAAATTTAAAATCTAGGAGGATACATTGTACTTTCAACAGTAAAAGTTAAGCAGGAACAGGAACATATAAATTGACTGTATATATACTGTTCCCAGGCGGGAAAAATCTAGAGGATACATGTACTTTATCAAGTTTATACAGTACACGATGCAGTCCGGTAAATCCGCCCACATAAGGCTTTGATCGTAAATATTTCTGCTTAATTTTATACAAATTGAATCATATTTAATATAAATCAATTTACTGACAAATCAACTTTGAGTAGTTTATCTATTTCCCCAAAAATATCTGAAATAAATTTTAAAATCAACAAAACAAGTGGGTCAACTGTGTTTTTATCGGAAATGTGTTTGTCCAGTAAATCTGCCCATGCGCAGTTTATATGTATGGAGGGCCAGTTTATCGCAAATTTATGAAAGGAAAAGATGATCTATTTATTAATAGACCACTTATAAAGGTATTCCTAATAATTCAAAATAATTTTTTTAGTCAGAGTTTTGTAAGCAATAATATGATTATCGTTAGCTTGAGGAACTGTATTATATATATCACACTATAGATATTTTCGTAATAAAAGATTTTTCTTTAAAATTTGACATGCAGTGATGATAAGTACTGTTTCTATGAATAAAATAGCAGACGAAATATTCACAGAAGTGACAATTATGGAAGTAAATAGGAGTTGGCGGGTTTACTGGACATGCGGAATTACCGGACACTACTGTAGGTTTAATAAGCGGGAATAAGCTTAAAATCTAAAAGAATACTTTATACAGTATAAGTTAAGCGGGAAGTAACCTGTCTCTCCTTTTTTATCTGTCTATATACATACATACATACAAAAAATTGTTTTTGGCAGAGCACTGTTCAGTAGCCACTTTATATACAATGTCAGTTTATAATCATCTCCTTGTATGCTCTATATCCGAGTTAAGAGTTTTAATAGTCTGATTCTGTGTGTACGCAGTTTATAACATAGACTTGCCGAAATATTACGGATATTGATAATGTCCTCCTTCTTGAATAATGCATAGAAGTGGCTACATTCGATCACAAGCTGTACACTATATTTTGTTTATTTCAATATTTGAGAAAGTGTTTTATTCAAATTATTGTACACTCCTTCTCTTTTCAAATCATAAACATGGCTTCGCAAGTTATCATAATTAGACTCTTTATATTAACGTCCATGAAAAGATCTTGATGGTATACTTACACTGACAAATTACATATTCTTAAAAAAAATCCTCTTCAGGTTACCATTTCGAAAATTTGACAGGTCGCCATTTTGATTCCAAGGTGATATGTCAACTATATTTTTGATATTCGTACGCAACTCTTATAATGTCCATTTTGGTCTGGTATCAGCACCATGTACTAATCTTCTGAATATATTCAAAACTAAACGCAAAAGATGCTTTTATCATAATAAAAAGGGAACTATTTCTAGCATCACTGACAAGGGAGGCGACTCCACATTTGAAAAGTAAATAAATGAACATAAAGTAATTGCTTTTGAAAAAGCGTACGTGTTTTTAAACTAAACGATTTTGTATATAACCGATGTCTTATTTGAAGCAGAAAAAAGAATCATTGAACTAATCTCTCGAAATGACCACAATTTCCTGAATATGTATATGTATGATGCAAGTTTAGCCGACAAACACAGTGAATCGATCAAATTATAAAATTTGGACAAAGTTTTCTTTCCAAATAACGCACACTTAAATCAAATTTTGTTCAGAGTTATAACTTTCATTCGGTACACATTTACGTGACAAAATAAACAATTGTTTAGCAAAATATCGATTTATTGAGAGTTTTGCTATTTTGCCGGTAGGCTTATTTCAGATTTTTTTTTACTAACATGATGAACTATTTTTTTTATTGAAATCATTGACGTTCGAAAATGGAAGACTGCACTTCATTTAAGGAATGACTGTAATTTTTTTCCTGTCTATGAAGAAATAACATCAAAAATGTGGTGCACACTGAATAACCCGCGTACGCGGCGGGTTATTTTAAAGTGTGCACCACATTTTTGATGTTATTTCGAATAGACAGAAAAAGTATAAGTCATTCCTTGTAATCTAATTCTTAATTCCATTTTAAGCCGGAGTAAATTATGAAAAAACGTTGATGACGTCACGGTCACAAAATTATGTCTAATGATGAGCTGATAGACAAAACACTGTCAGCCAATCAGAAGACGCGTTACATCCAAAATTAAATTATTGCCAAATAAACTTGAAATAAACGCTACTGAAGATGAGCGACTAATATGAAGAGCTATTAAAGCAGGTTTTGGAGCACTTTGAAAATGACAACTATGTGAAACTGTGGACACGTGATTCAAAGACTTTAAATTTATGAAAACTATAGCACTAAACAAAACCTTTAATAACGATCTAGTCTATGGCGCAATAAAGAACTGCTGTGTTCATGACGCAAAGACCAAACATTTGCATCTACTGGTTAGTCAAGTTGTTTCATAATTTCATGTACATGTACCTTCGTTTTTATCTTGAAACTGCATACCTGTCAACTGACCATATCCTGTGGGTGTGACCCGAGATTTTCACAACTTTGAGGGGTCACCCGGGATATCCGCCGGGTCGTTAAATATCCCGGGAATTCCGAAAATGACCCGTTTTCACCCGGATTCTTAATCCTTCAGACTGATTTCATACGTGATTTTCCTTTAAAATACCGGCAAATTCGTAATTCTTCCTGGTAAGGAAGTTCAACTAGCTGTGCAAACTCAAATTAAGTGACCCATTTCAGTGCATGGCAACACACTGTTAATTAACACCAATTACCTAAGCTTTAGGTCATAAATAATAGTTGAACTATATACATTTACGAATGACAGCACGCATTTGAGATGACACGCAGCACAGAAACTATAACATTGTCAATTAAAACTTGCGAATATCTTGCATCTATATACATTTGCGGATGGCGGCACGCATTTGAGATGACAAGCAGCACAGAAACTAACATTGTCCGCCATTCAACATCTATCAATCGATTTGAACCATACTTGATATACACTTTGCACTAACAAGTGTGTTCTAATGTAGTGCATAATATCGCAAACCTAAAATAACATTTTAAAACATAATTGTGTTATTCTCGCTAAACAACAATTAAATCATAAACACACTGTTCTAAAAGCCCTAGCCAACAAGTGTTGTGTGCAGTTCATGTCTGCAATGGCAGCATCTTTCTTGTGCAAGACTGGAAATGCACCAAAAGCAAGGCACTGGTTTTGAAACACTTGTAAAGCATTTTGAAGTTGTTAAATTGTAGATAAGACAGATAACTAAACGAGGGTTAACTTTTATAAGAAAATCTTTAAATTGATATGGAGAAACATAATTCATTTTCGCCTGGGACATAATATCTTTACTACTATTCCCAGATTTTCTCTTTGATTTGTTTTGTTGCTCTTGCAATGATATTTGACCCTAATACTTTTTTTATTATTCTTATTTCACTACCATCCAACTGCATGTAGATGAAATAATAGTTAGCAAAGCATTATTTCCCTAAAGCTTTTAGTTTACACAACCTGAAAGGGTTACATGATTTTTTTTGAATGAGCTAATTAAGCTTGAGCGAATTAACGCGCGCATCGTACACAAATCTTTTTTCTTTAAGAATAAAACTTACCTTGTGTAAACTGATACTGACAACTTTTTTAACGGACACCATACACATTTTAAAGATGTCAATTTTTGTCTGATCATGTGCCAAGCCATTGTTAACAGCTAGCAATTAACCAAGCACTACTTTTCCAGATATTCTTTTTTTTTCATTATATGTGAAAAACACAGGAACACGAAGAAAAATACAACAAATGTAATAAACGAATCATCTGAAAGAACAATCCAAACAAATTGAACTTTTAAACTTTTTAGGAACTTTGCCATTGAAAAACTTCCAGGGTAAAGGAAAATGAACTTTGGTTCGTGGGTTTAAATTTTGTTCTGAAAGTTAAGTGGCTTATATAAGAAATAATTGGCTTTAACAATTATATTTTAATTCAATGAAAAGTTTTTGGAAAAATATATAGTTATATCAACAAATAGTTTGTTGTTGTCTTTTTTTATGTTTTTTGTTTTTGGCATACAGGTAAATAAAAAATGTTCGTGGGGAAAGAGCGCTTATTAATGATCGAAGTATTATGCAGTCTCTTGTGAGCTGATTTTAAGTCTTCCACGGATCTAGCGCCGACCACTTCTTGTTCCAGGTGATCCCAGTCAACAATGGTCTTTATTTCGAGTTTACAATCTTGATGCTTTATCCACTTTGCTGAGTGTTTCGCTCTTATGTTTCTGGATGGTATGCATCCAACAAAGTATTTTACTAGCTCTGTACATATTGTATGTTTCCCAGAGATTGTATATGACATGTTATTAATGGCTTTTGCTAGTTAGCACTATTTAGAATGTCCTAATTTTCTTTTGAGAATGAGTAAGGAAAAAAGGGGGGTGTTTTCTGGTAATGAGGTTTATCATTCTGTTGATTATAACGATATCTATATCGTGGTCAGATATAATTGGTACGCTTACTGACGATTTAATGAGTGATGGGTTTGTTTTTATGCATATAAAATAAGGAGATGTGGTACGGTTCAAATGAGACAGCTATATCTACCAAAGACAAAATGATTTAGATGTTAGCAACTCTAGGTCACCACGCAGGACAAGTGTGTGTTCTCCTCTAATTTGCTGTTCGTGGATTTTTGTTAGGATTATAGTTAATGAGATGTTCAAGTTGGTGTGCCTTTTTTCGTTGCCATTTGAATTTTACTGTTGTAAGGTGTTTTAAATTAATGCGGGCAGTTGTAATCTCAAACCAGTATTGTGGTTTTGTTTGTGTTGATTGCCATCTCTAGTGCTTCCCCTGAGTTCTTGAATCTTTGTGGCACGTATTCGAAGGACGACGAAAACGTCTTCGTTGTTTGCAGTTTTGATTTCAACAGGAGACTATTATTACAGTAGTCTCAGTTTCAACCATTCCAATTTCACAGTTAGTTATCAAATTCGATTGTTCTTCAGAGATTATGTTTTTGTCAATCGATATAAATACCTCCATCCAAAGGTTCTTCTGTCATTTCTATAGACATTGTATTCTGCAGGCAGAAGCGAGGATTTCTCTGGTGGATTTATTTGGGGTCATGAAGCTCTGACTTTCATAGTCAAAATTCAATCTGAATCGTGAATTTGATAGTCGTAAATAGTTTTTTTCAAGGGGATTCGTCCGAGAGATAAATAAACGTATGCGATAAAAACAAATCGAGGTGGTAGATTACAAACAAGAATGTGTCCACAGTAAACGGATGCCACACTCGCACTATTATTTCTTATGTTCAGTGGACAGTGAAATTTGGGTCAAAACTCTAATTTGGCATAAAATTTGAAAGATCATATCATAGGGAACATGTGTACAAAGTTTCAAGTTTATTGGACTTCAACTTCATCAAAAATTACCATGACCAAAAACTTTAACCTGAAGCGGGACAGACGGACGAACGGACGCACAGACCGAAAAACATAGTGCCCCTCTACTATCATAGGTGGGGCATAAAAAGAGAACCAAGACTCATAAGTCAAAGAGAGACCGACGAAATTATGGCAACGACAAACGACGTAAAGGCACCAGTTTACAAAAAAATATATAAAAAACTAAAGACTGAGCAACACGAACTCTACCAAAACACTGAGGGGAACTCAGGTGCTCCGGAAGGGTAAGTACATCCTGCTCTACATGTGACACCATTTGTGTTGATCATGGTAAGCTCAAATTCGGGGATAAGTCTCATTCGGTGATGTCTCACTCGAGGAAAAGATGACTGAAGTGGTGTTACGAACATTAAAAACATATCCGTGGCCATCTGTAGCACAGATAAGTCATCACGGTCAACCAACTCATGATGGCATTCGTAAAACTTTCAAAGGGATGACTTCAACTTTATAACTCTGGAATATCCTTTCAACAGGGAGCTTTATACTCCATCTGCAGGCGAGGGTTGCATGTTGCTACATAGAAATTTATAGTTAAGCTCACAATGGGAAGCTGAAATCATCTCTTTTGTCGTAAAGTTTTATTATCAATCGACCTTCATTGTAAATTTCTAGATGTTAGTCAAGATATGAGACAGACTTAACTGTATCTGTGATATCCTTTACTTATAGTTACCAAACTTTGAATTATTTGGTGAGTGGACATCACCTTTATGAAGTCTGTCTCGTATGCCGGAAACAGTTGGTTACCACAGAAATAACGATTGTATGTTAAAGAACTCTTCATCAGTACGTAACAAATATGGTGTCAATAAAAC